TCGTTGTCGACATCTCAATCTCAACGTCATAAAGGAGCGGCAGCCAGCGCCCCCAAGCCCCTTTTCCTGCCAATTTCTGGCCTACGCATTTGTGTCCGTTTGTTGGCCCTGTTCGAGTTCGGGTATGGGTTCTAATGAGCGGCTCATAAAACGCGCTAAAGTTTGCGCATAAAAAGGGTCGTCGTTGACCATTGGCGAGGCCCCATATGTATGAAACGCATAATTAAGGCTGCGGAACTCGCTCAACTGCAGACGGCCATTAAACAGGGGGATCACTCTAACGATGCTTAAAAATGCATTTTTAATAGCCAAATTATTAACAAAGAATCGGTTTCACTGCTCTTGAGTTAAAAACACACATTTTTTGTCTTTTAAGATCCTAACAACAATCGATTAGAAATTTTATTGAACGCAATTAAGATTTTTGTTGCCTTGTTTTATGTCAAGTTAGTTGATTAATAAAACTGAATTGTTAACTTGACAATAAAATAAAGTGATGCAAATTTAAAGATTTGTCTGGACCTATCTAACGAAGATGCACAATTGTTGATTAAATGATGGTAAATATAAAACTTTTATTAATACTATGATAGTTAAAAGAGTTCAAATAATTAATAATAGATTTGAGAAATAAATATATTTAGTTATAAAAACGGATCTTACATAGTAAGAAAGACTCATGGTAAAACCCAGAAACGGAGTTTAGACCAACCTCAAAGTCTTTCTAAATCATATTTAGTAATGGAGTTAGTAGGTCCGTCTTGTGAATTTGCATACAAACAGGCAAAACGATCTTGCCAGCTGTGACACATCACAATTTGAAAATTCCCATTTGAAATCAGGCGGAAGAGAAATATTATTGTTGCCAGCTGCTGTTGTCTTGAGTCGCATCTTCAATAAAAAGCAAACATTTATCGCACAGCATTTTACCACCGATTTTCAGGCCACGACAAAAAAAAAGGAAAATTAAATATTTTTTCCCTGTGAAAATGCGCAAATAGAAAGTTCGTCTCTGTCGTCGCCCGCCGAATGCAATAAAACAATTAAGGCAGGGTGAGAGAGGACAGTGGGGCGGATGGATGGGAAACTGAGGCAAAACTGCAAGCTCAGCGAAAAGAAAGCAAGGTGGCGCAACCTTAATGACAGTGGGCAGTGCGCAGTACACAGTTTGGCAGCCACTGAGCTCCCGGGATCTCTAGGTCCCAGCCCCTTTTTTTCTGGTGTGTGGTCGTCGACAATTGACATAACATAAACATTTGCACTCGGGCACTTGCCTACAAATGCAAACACAAACATACGCAATCGCAAATCGCCTAATTATGGCCCTTGGTGGCTCTTCTTCTTCCATTGATGTTGGCCATCCAATCGATTCAAATGCCCGACAATCTTTTCAATTATTTCTTATCACCTACGGGGACCAAGGCAAATGCAAATGCACTGAGAAACCATTTGGTAGGAAAGAAATTGGGAAGATGAATAGTATTTTAAATTAAATTAATTAAATTAAAAATATATCAAAGGTGAATTTGATTAGTTATTAGTTTGAGGTTGCTTAAAAACTTATACCTCGCCTTTTTTTTTGCAGCCATCTAAGTGTATTTAACGCATACCATTAATTCTTTTTTATAATTGTTCTAAAAACACAAATTAACTATTTCAAAACACAATTTCATTTTTAAAATAGCCTTTTTCTAGCAGTGTAATTGCATGGCTCGCTGACAACATTGTTGCAAGTTTCCAACCAAGCTGCTAATGGCATCCGTTGGGTCGTGGTTTCATTTTTATACCTCCGCTTTCTGGAGATGCTTAGCATATTTGGCTAGAGGACGTCGATGCAACGACATTCGATCGATATAAATTTGATCATAATTTCTGACTATCAAAACAATTTCCCCCGAATACTAGTATTTGTCTTCCTTTGCTGACTGTTGAATATTTTTCGGCTTTCAGTGGATTTTTCGCGTTTATCCATAGTTTCCAACGTTTTTCGGCGGATGGCAGTTGTTTGATTAATAACCATGGCCAATGCGAAGGAAAATCGCTTGTACGAGTTTCGTTCAGCGGGGCTTTGGAAAATTGTCCACAAGTTCCGGCCAAAAATGAAAAATAAAAAACAACTATTGACAAATGTCTGGCTGGGGAAAGGGGATAGAAAAAGGCTCAACTAATTTGCCGTCCGGTAAAATCCAAAGCTTTAAATTGGGAAAGTTGACCGGTTGTGGGGTGAGCGTTTTTCTATTTTTCAGGATTTTTATACATACTTTGATTAAAGCAACAACCTTCGTTGCATGTCGGATGTAATAAATTACAATAATTAACTAAAAAAGATAACACTCAATTTATTAATATATATGAAAACTGTGTTTATTGCGGTTTTATTATTTATCTTTTAAAATTTCGTTGTTGATGTTTCTCTGTAACTGATGTTTCCCTTGATCTGAATTTTCCATATTCCTTGAATTATGTTCCATATTATCAATTAAAATGATTTAGGAATCATCAATCTAATACCTCCAACTATAACTTCTCCAAGCTTAATATATAGGTCTTAGAAAAGTGAAACCACTTCGTGCAACCTGAGTTGACACCTGCACACAATCTGATGTCTCCATAACCGTAACCATCTTACATCGATTCCATCGATCCGCCTAGCCACTTGCACTTTCAGCATCGTCATTCTGCTCGCGGACAACTTTCATCTTTCATCCCGTATCTTGTGCTGCCTGCACTTTCGTTCAATCGGTCAACGCAACTTGGCTGCCGGTGTATCTGCATCCGAATCTGTGTTTTTGTGCCCCTGCCTAAGAACACTTTAAAAAATTTGTTTTGTTAAAACTTTTAATATTTACTTATTTTAATACTTTGTGATGTTATATATCATAAAAACTTTTATCTATTACGTTTTATTTCCTTTTTATTGTTGAAATTAAACGAACTTTGAAACAGAGATTTTTATATATTTTGTGTATATACACATTTCTTACTGTGCACATCTGTTGCGTTGCACCGGCTTGGGGGCATCTTATGATGCCGATGTCGATGGTAATTTGCATATTTTCCGCATGCGCAGACGACTCGAGTCAGCCAGTTTATTAAACAAAAATATTGACATGAAAATCGGCTTTCGATTTCCACGGGACAAATTGTGCGGCACAGTTGCACCACACTGGCCGGTGCCGCACCACCGAAACGAGATTAAATGGAAAGTGAAGTTGCACATGCGTCGCCAATCAAGCCAATGAAGCTTAGAGCCTCCTCCAGTTTACAGTCTCAGCCAACTCTTTGCCGCTCCGCCTGTCGTCTCTATAATTAGGACAAAATGTCTAATGTTGACCAATGCCGAAAAAGTAAATACAACTCGGTCCAGTTTGGTCTCGTTTTACGCACCTTAATGATCATTTAGCGTCCGGCCGGTGTTTGTTGGCCATTTAACCGTTTGTGGCTTTAAGCCGATCAATCTGGCTGCAACTTTTACTACGACTGGGAAAGTTCTTCCACCACTTTGACCAAAGATGATGTCGCTCTGCGGAATGTAAACAAAGATGGGATGAGGGCTTTCGATTTTTCTTTGGGAAACTTAATTTCACTTCTACAGCCAAAACCGAAACCGAAAGTTTGCGCTTCTTTTGGATTAAGCTTGACAATATTATTTTATAAATCCGATTTTTCATTTGTGTTTAACATCACCGTCTTTAAGTATTAAATACATTTTTTCATGGCTGAAAATAGATTAGTTGCTTACTGCTTAAGAGTCAGCTTTATATTCACGAAGTTAAACTATCCAAAATTATTATTAAATATTATTAATTTACTCGTCTTTTAATACGCCAAAACCGAAAATCAATGCTTTTAAATTAAGGTTTAAAGAATTTTTGGCATTTATTTGTATATATTGTAAAGTATAAGTACGACACATTAATATATATATTTAATGATATTTCTTAAAAGAATTAAAATCATACGTACTAAGCAGTAATAGGCTTGACAAGCTTATATTTTCAAAGAATGCTACTTTTGTGACGTATTTCAAATCTGAATCGGTCACTAATGAAGTGAATTTGACAGATTGATATCAATATTAATCAAATATATATGACAAAAAGTATTTAAAGCCCAACTTATACGCTTTGATGGGAACGGAAAGAGCGGATTAGTTCGCTAAGTAAGAATGCTAAATGTCCAAAACCCAAAAGCAGGTTGGATTACGAACAAAATGCCGTTAAGAGCATAGCGGGTCCATTAGCAACCGAAACCCTCAGCCATTTCTCATTGCGCCGAGCAAAACTGAATTAAAGCAACAATTATTTATTTAATCATATTTCATTGAGATTGAGCAATCAGCTGGAAGAGGAGCTCGGCTCAGAATTCTCGGCTACCTGACACTGCAACATCAGAAGCATCTTCTGCAATTATTTGTGCATTAGAGGAAGCCAGCTACCTCGAGCTGTCGGCTAATGTCAGTTTAAGTGTGGCAATGAATAGAAAACATACCGAGGAAGTGCACCGGGGAAAAGCTAGTCGGTGGGAAAATGCTCGGTCAGTTGCAACTAGATTTCAGTTGCTTCAGTTGCAACCTGGTGGCAACCTGGTTGCTGGGCATGAAATAATATTCGCATTAAGAATGCTTGATATGTGCTGCAAGTCCTTAAATGCATCCGCCATACGAATTGCAATGCCATAACGAATTAATGCACTTGATTGCCCCAAAAATGGCAGCCCACGCAGCAGCTTTGCAGGTTTCTCAGTGACCATAAGTGCATTCGAGGGAAAACTGAGAACTCTTTTGGCAATCCATAATAAATACACATTTAAACGCAGCAATTAAGTTTGGATAATTAACTGGAGTCGCACTGCTGACCCACATTTGCAAGTCAATTATTCTTTACATTGACAGCCCACTGTTCTAAATTATTTGATCTTAATTTATGGACAGAACTGAAAATGTATATGAAACTATTTTAAAATAAAATTCCACCCATCTAATAGAAAAACAAATTATCTTCAAAAACGAAACAGTTTTTAGTGAATTTAATAATAAATTCGTAAAATATTTATAAAACAAATTGAATACACTTTTGCAGAAAATAAATTAAGTTTCGGGATGACGTCATGAGTATAGGCAAAGAAAATGAAGTGAGAGAGGAAGAAAAGGCACAGAAGGGTCAGACAACAACGAATTCGTTTAATCATCGATTATCTCTGTTATCTTGGCACTTTCGGCGAACACGTCAGGGATCTCCGCGTCGTCGGAACGCTCGATGATTCGATAACGTTCCGCCGCCGCCAGACATTGGATGGCCACCTCTCGGGCTTTGGCACGGGTATCATCTGGCAACTGCCCTAAGCCGCTCAACAGCTCCATGATGTCCGTTTCAAACAGTTTCTTGGCGATTTCCTCACCAGCGTTGATCATGTTCAAAATTACCACAATGCCACGGTGCTGTACTGCCGGACTAGGATTGGCAATCAGAGTGTGGAGAATGTCTAGCCAACTGGCGATGGCCAGGATCTTCTCGCAGCACTTGACAGACACCGAAGTTAGCATGGCCAGAGCTCCGGCACAGGCCGTGGCCGTTTCCTCGTCCTCATCCTCGCTGAGCAGGGCCAAAAACTTCACCCGGTCGTTATTGCCTTCGAACATTTTTACAACATCCTCGCTCATAACCAGATTGCAGAGACATTGGGCAGCTGCACGAGTGAGATAAAGATGATCCTCCATCAGATAGAACTCTATCTTTGACAGGCCTTGCTCCTTGATGATCCTTTGCCGAACGCTTTCGTTAAGGCTGGCCAGATTGGTGAGCGCCATTAGAGATTCAAAGTTCTCCAGCGCCGTACAGTCCTGCTCCAGAAGGTTTAGCAAGGGACGGATTACATCAAGCGATCGCTGACCGCTAAAAGACACTTCTGGATTAATGGTTATTCCAATCCTGGCCAACGCCTGAGTAGCATGACGTTTTCCTTTTGCAGTTCCCTCAAGCGCCATGCGAAGCAGCGCCTTTACACCTCCTTCTTGGACCACCTTTCCGCGTAACTCTTTCAGTCCACAAACTGAGTTCAAGACCCTCGCAATCAGTTCCTGCGAATTATGGCTTTCCGTTTTGGACAGAGCACACAAAGCAGTTGTAATACCCTCATTTGCCAGCACAGTAATACGCTTGTTGATAAAATCGACATCATCCAGCTCGTGCTCCTCCGGTATGTGCTGCTTGGCGAACTTAGCCAGTTCCACCATCTCTGGCAATAGCTCCTGCTTCTCATAAGCATTGCACAGATTTACAAAAGTAGTCACAACACCATAAAGGCACGACTGATTTCCAGCACGCGCCAAATCCATCAAAGCATGAATGGAAGCCTTATCCTCAATAAGCTTCTCCTTACATTCAGCATCGAGGGTTAGGTAAGCCAGACCATCGGCAGCCCAACGGCGGATATCCCTATCCTTTCCAGGCTTGATCAGGAACCGACGGCATGCTTCCGCCAATTTCAGAGCGGCTCCATCGCCAAATGGACGAATAGCTGCATCCTGGCCTCCATAACTACCCAACTTGCACAGACCAACCAGGGCGCGCACTCGAACTCCATCGTTCTTGGAGTGATAGAGGCGCTTCAGGATGTCCACACCCTGCTCGCAAAGAGCCTTGGCTTTATCCTTTTTAGAAGAAGCGGCGATTAGGCACTCACAGGCCACACGCTGCTGCAACTCATCGTCAGTGGTGGCCATGGCAAGAATCATCTGCAGGATACCTATAATCATAGAAAAGTTAACAACATCCTCAAGTTATTTATTTTTTCTACTCACCATCTCTGGCCACAACCTGATTGCCTACATCCAATGGACCGTTGAGCAGGGCAGTAATCGCTACGGTGACCCGCACTTTGGACTCCATATCAGGAGCCAAAAGCTTGTCCTTGATGTACTCATCGATTTGGTCGGTGAACCTAAGCTTGGCTTCATCATAGTACATGTTCTCATAGATGCGGGCCAGACAAACGGAAGCAATTGTGGATGAGGAGCCGGTTATATCCATGGCACTCTCGTACTTATAATCTGCAAGTTCAGAACAGACATCCAACAGGCGGCAAAGACCCCTGATCTCCACTAGGCGCTCGGCCCACTCCAAAGCCGTGTAGTGAACATTCCTGGTGATCAGTTCCATTACAGCATCCCTAGCTGCACCGGAAATCGTGCGATCAGTGATACTATAAACCAGGCAGGTAAGAAGAGTGTCTATTTCGCGGTTGTTCTTGGAGCACAGCTCCTTGTTTGGCTTCGAATCTGTTTTGTTCTTAAGTCCAGATAACGCGTTTAAGATTGTTTGCAAGCAAAATTGGGCGGTGGACACACAGTCCTCGTGTTTCTGGTCAAGAACTCTCAGGAACCAAGGTACTCCAAGTTCCGTTAAAACTGCTTTTGTACGCTCCACGCTATTTTCGCAGAGAGCAGCAACCACTCGCACCATGTTCACATAGATGTCCTGATCTTTTTCCACCTTAGTCAACGAAGCTACTTTGGTAATGCAGTGATCCTTATAGAGGAGTTCGGCACCGGTCTGCTCCTTGGCCAAAACTACCAGATTATTGGCAGCGGATCGACGCTTATCAATGGGGGTGGCCAAATCAAAGGTAAGATCCATCATCTGCTTAACTTTCGTGGAAGTCTTGGCATTGCGGGCCAATCGCTCCTCTACAATGACATGCAGCCTCTGAAGCATTGGCTGTACGGTTTTGTTGCCGGGATCAGCCTTGAACAAAGCAGTGCCATCTTTGTAGGCTTCCTCGAACTTTTCTAGAGCCTCATAGGCCTGCGCCCTGCGAAAAAGTGCTTTGGGGTCTCCTGGTGCCGCTTTCAAAGATTCGGTGCAGTCGTCAACAGCATTTTCATACTTTTCCAGCTTTAGATAGGCAGCAGCACGATTTTTGTAGAAAACCGGTAGCTCCTTGTGCTTTGAACCCAACTTAATGGCAGTACTGTAGTGCTGCACTGCCTCCTCCCAGCGGGAGGCTTTAAAGGCCTCGTTGCCCTTATCCTTGTAGCTCCCCGCCTCGGATACTTCCTCACTGCTTATGGTATTCGTCATCGTTACACAATTTTCTGTATGAAAATACACAAACTTTAGCTGCAACTTCCTATTGATCACAGATGACTCACGATTCCAAATGGTTTTGTGCCTTTTGGCCTAATTTTCAATTGCCAGAAACTTCTCGATCGCTGTCGAATACACACAGATACAATTACAGATAGATAGCGGGAAAATCAAGCACGCTGTGTGAGAAAATTCAACCGGCTGCTGCGCTGTTCTATATATAAATAAGATCGAGAAGAATCAAACCAAAATAGTTGCAACAGTTGGCATTCGCAGTGAGACGGCTACACAGCTGTTCGGAACAGTGGTGGAGCTTATGGCTCATTATAGCTTTAAAGAAGGAAAAATTTTTAGCTTTTATTTTTTTAACTTTTAAAATACTGTATATATATATCACTTAGAAATTATATTTTTTGTAAATTGTATCCTATATATTTACATGCAAGAAAAAATGTAATTACTTTAGTCGATGTTTTTAACTGGTTCCGACTCGCATCGACCTATCGATAACTGGGAAGGCACAGGGGAACAAGTTCAAGTTCAAGCAGCTGATCCGATTTGTTTTGGATTTTCATGTGATATAACGAAGCAAAAACAATTACATCGGGCGAAAGAACACATTCGAGATGTTCCAGCATAGCCCAATGCTGTGGCGACCGCTGTTCCTGCTACGAAATCTGCACCTAAGTCAGTGCCATCAGATTAGCCATTACGATGCCCTTGGGATTGGTCGGCAGTGCACACAGAACGAAATAAAGGCGGCTTACTACAAGCTCTCGATGCTGTATCATCCTGACAGGAATCAGGGTAGCGAGAGCGCTGCCAAAAAATTCCGGGAGATCAATCAGGCATACGAAATCCTTGGAAACTACCGCCTGCGCCGTCTTTACGACAAGGGTATTGTTCACACAGCGGGGGCGCAATATGCTCAAGATGTCCAGGATGTGGCGGAACCTGTAGTCGAAGACGACCCGGAAACAAAGTTCTACAAATCGCGATTTAAAAAGTCTCGTGTAGCCGATTCTGAGGGTCGCACGCCGATATACGATTTTGATGAATGGTCGCGAAATCATTACGGCAAAGCCTTTGACCGGAGGCAGACCGCCCAGGCCAAATACGATAGAATCAAGGTGCAAAAAGAGTATAGCAAAATGTCCAGCCAGACGGATATGGTTTTACTGTCCTTCCTTTTCTTTGGAGTTGCAGTGTATCTTATGTTCTTAGCCGAGAGCTCCTACGATACGCCTAAACAGAAGGCGGAGGATCTGTACAGACGCGATCAGCAGGAGCGAGAAAAACAGCTGGCTGGGAAAAAATCGTAGAGTTCTCTAGTCCACAGTGTACATAGAATTAAGTTTAATCAATTAAATCAAATGGCTATTATTGTGAGTAAGTGATGTGGCAGTTTTCCTTGAAAGAAAGGGATCCTGATCCTGATCTAGACTCGAACTTCAAATGTTTCATCTGCTTTTGATTTGCACGTATCGTAAATTTATATTTTTCTTAGAAAAATAGTTAGCTAATCAATCTTTGAAAACGAGAAATGGGTTACCAATTACGAAATAATATTTTATGACTAAGAACCAAGTTTTTAAATAAAATCACAATTACTTTGAGATTAACTAGATAAACTTTAATCAAAATTTGCCGCTACGCTTGCGCGCAGTGTACTTTGTATCTGGACGGGTTTCCAAACCCTGGCGTCGTCTACGCTCTTTCTTGGCCAGGATCCAATCGCGAGATTTTTTCGGTGCCTTTCCACGTGCCTCGCGGCAGGCATCGCGTTTCTTGATGTAATTCACACGGCGCTCCTCCTCAGGAGAACCTACAAAATAAAGAAGGCAGAAGTGGATAAAGCAACAACTTATTAAGATATTAAATAGAGACTCACCTAAAGCCTTTGGCAGCTCAGCCGATCCTCCAGTCATGAGTACTAGATAGTATTTCTTGGCCTTGGCGGAGTTGGGATAATCCACAACCAATCCTCCGTAGAAACCAGCCTTCATGGCCTGCGAAGTGACCATCTCTATTTGGTCAGAGTTCTCCGGATAAAACTGGAAAACAGCACGTGCGGTACGTGTCAGACAGGAAAACAATGTGGTAAAGAACTTCAGCAGACGCTTATGCGGATTGTGATACGACTTGTCGGCATTGCAAAGCCACTGAAGGGCAGAGATAGAGATGGCGCCGTCGAAGGTGCCCGGCTTGAAGGGCATACCCTCGCCCATGTCTCCCAGGATCACATCACCGGCCACTTCCCGTTCTACTGCAATATCCAGCATGGACTTGGATATATCTATGCCTATCCACATGTGTTCGCTGTCCTCTAAAACACTTCCCGATAGCCCAGAACCACAACCAATATCCAAGATCAAACGGGACTCATCGTCATCTGGAAAAGCCAACAGCTCCAAGGCACGTTCGGCCATTTCCACTTGGATCTCAATGATGCGAGTGCTAAAGTTCAGAATGTGTCAATAAACCTTTTGTTTTTAAAGAAAAGTACTCACTTTGTGGAATATTTCTTGGCCTCATCATCGTTGTAAAACTGAAAGGAGTACAAAACTGGGTTAGATATCGTGTTCATATTATCAGCCACCTACTCACAATTTCTGGCGGTGCTGAATGCTCAGGTCTTCTGGCCATTTTTCCTGTATTTTGTTGTATTTAATTTACAAAGCTATAGAAACAAGCAGACGGTAGCGTATTTATATAAACAAAAAACCCAACTACACGTGCAGTCTGACAATCAGCTGTATGCCATTCACAGTGCCACGTCAATGTTTTTAGATGTCTATCGCAATCGTTCAAGTTATCGAGCTAGCCTACACCAACACATATCACAGCGCAGTGAAAATTCGTGAAAAATGCAATTTTTCATTTAAACTAAAAGCAATAACCATGTGAAGAGTGTGATTTAAAGTGTAATCTTGTTAGTGCATCAAGTGAAACGGTGAGTTGAGCCTGAAAACCACCGTGTATTGATAAGAAAGCAAACATTTGCATGGGTCATTTTTGGGTGTGGGAGTGTGACTGTGAAAATTGTTACCTGTATGTGTGTGCAATGGTTTGACGCGTCAACAAATACACATGATGGTGTTAAGTGCTAATTAGACACCGCTGTTTGTTGTTGTCCAGGCGGAAATGCAAAAATTTGCGATGTGCGTGTTTAAAACCGTTATGTACATAAGTATGTGCTAGAAAACTAGTGGCACAATTTGCGAAGAAAACCCGTTTACCTTGCTCCAATTTGCTCCAAAAAAGCGAAAACTCATCTATTCAGGAAGCATAACAACAACAGGTTAACGCTTATCACACAGGTAGACTATGCTCTCTCTTCTACTCTCTCTCTCTATATGTCTCACCAGCTGTTAGCCGGGATGCTTTTGGCTTGCTCTCTCGCTCTTCCTTTTCGATCAATAACGGTCATCAGTGGCTTCCAAAATGTTTCGCAGGGCCGTGCATTTCAAACTGCATAAGAACTTGCATTTCTTTTGATGTAAAATTCTCTTGAACATTTCCCAAATAAATAAAGCACCCAAATTCAGGTTTATCTGCGACCCGCCTGCCTTCTCCCTGTGCTTGTTTACTCTTTGCATATTTATGAGCAAACTGGTTCTTCTTTTTGGCAACGGAACATCTTTCACTCTTTCCAAGAACAACATTCCCACCTTCGATGGCCGATGGTTACAAAATTTACGCAACAAGTCTCGATCGCGGTCGCTGGCCTCTCTACCCAACAAGTTTGCCAAAACCCCCACAAAAAAGCAGATGAAATGTGGAATCTCAATAAGAAAGACTTAAATACTCTTTTAAATAAGTAATTTTAATAACTGAATCATCTATTCACATTCAACAAACTATTTTTGTAAATTTACAATGACTCTTAAACAACAACTTTTTTAATGTTTTGGTTAATGCACTAGTGTTATAAGATAATTTGTTTAATTGCTAATTATAAAAATTTTCCATATTCTTAAGACTTAATTTATTAATTCTTGGTCATTATCTAAATGAGAAATTACAAATATTTCATTGTGAGCTCTCTGACTTTTCGTTTAACTTTAAAATATTTTGCAAATTGCAATACTCTCTGATAGAGTATAAACTACAACCGAACCCGCTGCCATCCATTTTGGAAACCAGATACAGATATGGGAACAAAGACAAATACAGAGCCAACTACAGATGCTCGCTGGCTGCTGGGAAGAGTTGCTTCAGTTGAGTGTTCCATTCCCCCAGAGCAAGCCGTTCCCGCCGGAAGAAAGTAAGAAAAGCTAGCAAATGTGCAGTGGGATAACGCTATGTCCACTGCTGGCGGTGCTTCTAGTGGGTCACCTAGTGGCTCCAGTGGCGCCGGCTAACCTACTGACCAGCTATCTGCCCGCCTCCATGCAGGCTCTGGCGTACTATATAGATCTGCTACAGTATGAACCGCTGTCCAGTACGACTGTGGAACCACCATTCAGTGCAGATGATGGAGTGGAATCAACGACAGTGAGTGCGAGACCATCGACACCATTGCCCACAAGGATGAGAAGCACTACGACAAGAAGGCCAGGTGGAACAGGAGCTCTGGGGTCAATCTGGTGGCAAGCGCCAAGTTGGTGGGAAGCGCCAGAGAAAACTACAACTACAGAAAGACCCACATCGCCCCCTACTGTGTTGCATCGCCCCGCGGTTTTCGCACCATCTTCCCAAACAGAAAAGACGCTTGAAGGCTACGGTCTCTTTAATGAAATCAAAGATGATGTGGACTTTGATAAGCTACCATTGTCTTTAATTCGCGATATTCAAACTGAACAAGAAAATTTTACCAATGATGTCGAATCGCTGGATAACTTTTTGCGTCTCTATGATGATAATTACGGAAGGGCTGCCTTTGATTTCGAGTCCGCTATGGATCGATGGAGTAGTGCTTCGATAGCAGGCAAAAAGAGGGTTCCACCAACAAAGCCCTATGTGGATTTCCTACTGGTGTACGATCTCCTTAAGCGTGATGCCAAAGCGGCCAATCTAAGCAAGTATGAAGGATACTCTGAGGATCTGCTGGAGCAGCTGCATGAGTTGTCCCAAGTATCGTCCGCCAGACAATTGCATACTCTCTTCCAAAGGATGCTTGACCGGCATGATATCCAGCGAAGTGACGTGGTCTCCCGAGTCAAGGGAATCGTCAAGGATCTGGGGAATCCCAAAAGCCCAACATCCAAGGCATTGGCTTTTATACCCAGCATGCAGTTTCTACCTTAAGCTCCTAGATAAGTCGCAATAAAGTCGAGGGACCAGTTAACCTATTTTGTGTTTACTATTATTAAATAAAATCTGAGTTAGTTATTTGAAAACATCTTGAGGGATCGATGATAAAGACGTATTTCTGATTTAGAACTTGTGTTATAATATCGTAAAGGGTATTTAAAAAAAAAATTGATACTGTCATGAGAAAAAATGCACATAATTACTGCTAATAAAAAGTAAAACTTTGATTATATGTAGTTTATAATTCATGTTAAAGCCTTGGCATAGATAGAGTTAGTTCAACTTAAGTATTTATCCAATATATTATGTTTATGATAATGATTCAGTCGTATAATAATGATCCATTATGAATTTTCCTTATAAAAACTCGTGTAATTCAACTTTAAATTCATAGCGATTAATAGCAGCTTTTTGTGCTTCAAATCAACTGCTTGGAAATCGTTTTGCGTCCGGAAGTGTCACGGAAAATGGCCTCATTGGACAAAGGAAACAGGGCATTGTACACAGGACACTCCCCTTGGGCGTTCCCGCCCCTTAGCTCCAAAACAAGCCTAGTGACTTATCTGACACATTGACATAGTTCACGGCGAGGCGGGTGTGTGTGCATCGGTGTTAATGTGTTATCTATAACAGGTCACCCGGCTGCAAATTGTTGCTGCTTTTGCCACAGTTTATTTTTTTTATTTGGCTGCATCAGCTGCGATGCTACCTTTCAACGTCATCACTACTCTCTCACGCAAGGCGCTCTCTTTTGGTTAGTACTTGCCACCCACTTATATATATTCTCTTTTCAAGCCTCCCCCTGTTCTACTCTCTCGCTGTCGCTTACGCTCTATGCCACTCCGTGGGTTGCTTTTCTTGTATTCTCGCCAGCGCTCTTTGATTATATTTTGTTTTTATGCGCTCTCACTTATAAATTTACTCCACACTTCTCATACACTACTATTAAATAGAATTAAAGTTATTCGTGATTCATAATTAGGCATACAAATATAAGCATGGAATTTTAAAGTATGACTACAACTATGTTATTATTAAGAACTCCTTACAGTGAAAAATTAGTTCTTTTAATTATTTTCTATTGTTTTATATCGGCTATAAAGCAACATATGTTTACCAAGAATTTCTTTATCATATTATTTTATTATTTTATGTAATATTAATGATGAACAAAAATTTACTTATCCTAACAACTTAACTTAACTAACAGACTTACTTGTCTAAAAAATCTTTTCCACCGCCGCGCTAACATTTTATATAACTCTTTGCAAGGGTATATGAAAAGCGCTCTCTGCCAATCGGTGGGTTGCTTTTTGCCAGCGCTCTTTGATTTCATTTTGTTTTTGTACTCGGTGCGCGTAGCAAGTGTAAGCGGTGTTTCGCTCTGCTTCTTCTTCAGAGTTCCGCCTGTAATCTCATCTAATTCGGTTTAATTTTTTCGCAATTTACGCTACATCGAGTGACAAGCTATTGAAAAATTAATTGCCCAATTGAAATTGAAAGCTAAAGAAAAAATATCCATTTGGGGCAGCTAAAAACTTTACAAGAAATTTGTGTTGTTGGAACGGTTATCGATTTGTGTGAAAGTTGCAGGCTGCTGCAGAAAGAAAAGGCAAAGAAAGTTTTCTGGAAATGTGAAGACACAACAAATCACAACAATGGAAAATTTAAACTTTGCACGCACACCGCAATTTCTGCGCAAAGTTATCTCCGAGGCGCGCAGGTAAATGCAGAAAATAACAAAAACAATGGATGTTGTGCATAAAATAGGGGTGAGGTGCGAAAGGGAAAAATCAACCTACAACCACCACAGAAAGAAAACACCACCCACCGGCGAACGGGTCACTCTGATGCTTCGTATTCCACGGGACACGTCTAGCCGGGATATAAATTGTGGCTGGTTCTTGGTTTCTTGTTTCTAGTTTGTTGCACCTTACAGGTTTTACTTGTTTTCTTTTGTGGACTGCATAAGTGGGCGGAAAGGGGCGGTCCAGCAGCCCCAAAGCGTCTTATGTAACTCGAGCCTGCAGACGTCAATGGTTCGGTGTCCTCACGCCAGAGGATTATTTCGCCTTGTATGTTCGAGTACATACAGCTGCGTTCAAATTAATAGCAACACAAAGCTGCCATCTCATAATGTGATGAAATATACAAATTTCTTTTAGAAGGATTTCTATTTAATATTGATTTGCAAAAAGAAATTACATGTCTTTAAATAAATATATAAGTTATATTTTGATTAGAATTTCTGCCCATTTTTTTGATTTACTATTCAGTAATCAAACTATTTGGCTTTTTATTTTACTACAAAGTTTGGGACAAAGGAAATATCTTTAAACAAAAATTTAATTTTGCTATAAAGGTTCTATTGTTTCTGCTGATAGTGTATGTAGTATGAAAAATGTACCTTTGTGCAACATGCCACACACGCCACTCGAGGCAAAAACCGCAAACAAAGCCAAAAGACAACAAAGAAGCAGACGAAAGGAGTTGCAACGAACCGAAACCCTATGGTATCGAGAACCCCCAAACCCGGAATACCCATAAAAAGCACGACAATTAGTCATAGGAAATTGCACATGCTCTTGAAAAAACGTTTCCACAAAAAGTATGAAATCATTTCTCACAAATCTGAGGACTTCAAGCATTCGAATACCCTTTAATATCATATTTAGGATATTCATTAATGGAATTACTCATACAAAACAATTACTTATTTATTTTATCAATAACAATTTCAACGTTAATATCATCAAACTAAAACTAAATGGAAAGCAATGGATGTTTCGTTCATCCCAGTAGAACAATTAATGCTAGCGTCCTTCACAAGCACCATTGTGCACCAACGCCCGAAAACCATTAAAATTCTTGCCCACCTTCCCACACATCCTTTCCATTGTCTTTGGCCCGGCTACACCATTATCCCATAGCCGGCGGACATAATTTCGCACATTGCACACAAATGATGAGGACAAGGGATGCTGCGCCTCAGGCCCCTTCGATTTTCCCAAGAAAAAATCTCTTTGTTTCGTATTAATAATTTGGCTCCTCTTGACTTTGCCGCCATCTGTGTCAATGAGCGCTGCTATCGAGCCCAAGGCGACAGCTCTTTCCCGCACTTATCAAAGCTGAATGTGAGTGGGTGTGTGTAAAACAAGAAAATAGAGCGGGTGTGGGTGGGTGGTTTGGATTTTCTACTGCAAGGCTGCAGTTTCCGTCCGAAGCGTGCCAACGTATCGATACATTTGAATACGTTTTTGGCTTGACTTTGTTATAATCATCACCGTCATCATCGCCGTATATATAGCTCGAGTGATGCATGTTTTTCCCCACAATACCACGACTTCCCCTTCTCGGCGTCTGCGTTATAAACATTCCATAAAGTGATTGTTCTACTTATTAGTTGAAAGCTTCTGGGGTCTGAGATATATTTGCTTTCATTCAGAAGATCTTCTCAATATCGGTGTATTTTCGTTTTATTAAACTTTATAAATGTATTTTCATCTTAAAAAAACAAGGAGTTCATAACTGTGATTTCTATACAAATTGTAATTAAGTAACACAACATATTTGTTTAACATCGTGCTTTATTACTCTCAATATTAATGAGAATTTTTATTTAAAAACTTATTGAGAAAGAATGTAAATATATGAAATGGGTAATTTAGTAACGCTCCATTTAAAAATAATACAATATTCTTTCTTTAAATTTAACGTATTTTACTAATGGATACCATCAATATCAAAATGTTGGAAAATATATATCTTATAGTCAAACCTCATCCTACTTTACTTACATCTTGCTTTTCTTTTAATGATCTAATACGACGTTATTAAAAAATTTGAAACCAAATACTGAAATTTAATCGATAATGCAGCTGTTAGCATTAGGAGAATCAAATGGCAAGGTCAAAGTCTCTCCCGTACACACTCATCAACCATATGTTGTGTTTAATTGATGAAACATTCCGCAATTTATTTTGTTATTTTTCTCGCTCGCTTCGCAGATCGTTCATAAACAGCGACCCATTTGCTGCCTCATCCGCGCGGGGACGTTCGGAAACTGAGGAGGAGGCATCATCCGAAATGGAGCTCGCCCACACTTTGACCCTTAATGAGGAGGCTCTCAAGCAGTTGCCTGAACACAAGAGGCCAGTATTCGAGCTGGAATGGTTGCGCTATTTGGAGAAGGCCCTGCCCCTGGCGTCTAAGCCGGATATCAAGGCCAACCAGAAGAAGCTGGTTCAACAGCTGTCGGAACGCATCCAGGGTGCTCCAGGACCGCCCATTCGCAAACTGGTTGCCAGTGCCCTGGCCACGCTCTTCTCCGTCGGAGACACTTTCATGCTCTTTGATACTGTCAACGCCTGCAATGACATCCTAAAGAACAAGGATGACTCTCCCAGCTACCTGCCCACAAAGCTGTTAGTATATTGTATATATATTATTAACAAATCTAATACGTCTCTTTATTCGCTTAGCGCCGCAATCTGCGTCTTGGGCTCAATGTACGAAAAACTGGGTCGGATGATGGGCCGCACCTATGAGGACACGGTACAGATCCTTATTCGCACCCTTCGCAATGCAGAGTCGCAGGCGCGAATTGAAATCATGCACACGCTGGAAAAGGTGAGCGCTGGTATGGGCACTGCCATTGCTAACGTACACAAGGACATATACAAGGCGGCCAAGCATTGCCTGCTGGACCGTGTGATGGCTGTTCGAGTGGCTGCCGCTCGCTGCATCCTTAAGATGATCTACAGTGCACCGTTTCTTTACCAGACGGAGCTAGAAAGCCTGGGAACACTATGCTTCCGTGCCTTCGACGGAAGCAATTACGAAGTGAGATGTGCAGTGGCTCAGCTGCTCGGAACACTTTTGGCATACACCCAGCAACTGGCCGAGGCCGCAACGGGTAAAAAGAAACAAGGTCAAGCGCTGGCTTTACATGCGGCCAAGGGAGCAACGCAACGTTTGGTTTCCTTGGACGAAGCACTGGGAATCCTTATGTCGGGATTCCTGCGCGGAGGAGCATCTTTTTTAAAGGGTACCGGAGAGATTATTAAAGGCAGCTCAGGAGTCAACCGAGAAGTTCGTGTGGGTGTAACCCATGCATATGTGGTCTTTGTGCAATTCATGGGCAGCGTTTGGTTGGAGCGACAGTTGAGCGTTTTTCTGGCACATGTCCTGGATTTGGTGGCCAATCCCAAGGCGGCCTGTTCACACGTGGATGCAGTGTACTCGAGAAAGTGCATCAACTTCATTCTCCGCTCAACAATTGGCAAGATGCTAGGCGAAAAGGCGCAGAGCGCCGCTTGTAAAGAGCTGATCCACTTGGTGGCCAAACAGATGAATTCCATTGACTTTAACCCCGAGAACGCAAAGGATTCCAATCAGGAGACATTGTTCAGTCAGCATTTGTTAGTGTGTGCACTTCAGGAATTGAGTTCCCTGCTCATTGGATTAGGAACCACGGCCCAGAACTTGTTGGGAGATCAGTCCCTGCAAGCCATCGATGCTACCTGTGCAGTTTTGGTGCATCCCTGTGCTGCTGCTCGCTTGGCTGCCGCTTGGTGCTTGCGTTGTGCATGTGTGGCTGTTCCTGGGCAAATCACGCCATTGATTGATCGCTTTGTGGAGTCCATCGAGCAGATGCGATCCTCACCTGAAGCTATTGCCGGATATAGCTGCGCTTTAGCGGCCATTTTGGGAAGCATTCGATACTCACCTTTGGGCATACCCCATACAAAGGGCAAAGTCGTGTTTAACTGTGCGGAGGAACTTCTGAGATCGGCTTCCCAAAATAGCCGCATGTCGCTGCATCGCACCCAGGCCGGTTGGCTATTGATAGGAGCCATTATGACATTAGGATCTCCAGTAGTCAAGGGTTTGCTTCCGCGGATGCTGCTACTGTGGCGTAATTCGTTCCCACGATCCAACAAAGAGCTGGAATCGGAAAAGGCCCGTGGCGATGCCTTCACCTGGCAAGTTACGCTGGAGGGCAGAGCTGGAGCTCTGTCCGTAATGCACAGCTTCCTGCTTAATTGCCCGGATCTACTAAACGAAGACATTACCAGACGGCTGCTCACGCCAATTGAGAGCGCACTGGCTATGCTGGTCAAGTAAGTGATATTACCTATTCCTCCTGTAACGCCAACAGAGCAGTACAGTGTCCAATTTTTAAGTTTATTAATCCGTTTCTGACTTCTTTCCAGCTTGGCCTCTGTCTTGAAGAGCTATGGTACCCAGCTAAAGGCTCCGGCCGCCATGGTGCGGTTGCGTCTTTTCGAAACACTTACTCTTCTGCCGGCAAATGCCCTGGAAGCCTCCTATACGCATCTTCTTCGCATGCTCGTTTCGGAGTTCACCCTTTCGGATAACGCAGCCAATACAACTAACTCACTGCTGAGGACACTCTGTCATGGCGACGATTCTATAATCTTGGGCACTTGGCTGCAGGAAACTAACCATCGCACCATCGAGGATCAGGTGGGTTACATTCTGAATATATTGGTTTTATCTACTTTTCTATGAGTGTGTGTGACCTCTAAAACAACTGTCTTTCCTTGAAACCCTTTTCACTGTTTTCTCTACCCTTTCTCTGTATAATTGTGCATTTCCAAAGATGGAACCCAATCGCAAAGTCGATGGCGAGCATGTAAGTGGTGTGAAATAATTGCTGGCAGTTTTAGTTCTTCAAAGATCGTTTTTGCTTAGTTAATATAAAATTATTACGGTGCTTTTAAAATCCGTAAATATGCTTTAAAAAAGCCACATGATATTCATTACTTTTCACGTATATTCTTATTGAAAATCTAGAAATATTTATATTTTCATAATTTAAATTTTAATTAAAAATGTGTTTTTTTTTTAAATTTGCATGACGATTTGGATTCTCTCAGCTCTTTCCTACCTCATTTTGTTTTTGTTTTTATTATTACTTTATTTTTAGCGAATTTTCATAATATTTTTTGAGTAACTCGCAACTCTAAATCTACTTTTTAGTTGCAACCAAATAGTGCCGCTGGATCTGGCGCATTAGAGCATGATCCGTGCTGTCTGTACCGTCCCAGTTGGTCTGCCCAGGGCAGTGGATCCAGCACTGTAGGTCCATCAGCAACATCTTCCGGTGGAATCAGTTGTGGAGCAAACAACATCCAGCTGATAAGCAAGGCTCAGCAGTGTCCAGGACCATTGCCCCTCGGCGTGGCAGTTATCGATATGGCAGTGACTCTGTACGGAACCATTTTCCCCAAGGTGGCCAACAAGCATAGGTTACAAATGCTGGAGCACTTTGCTGAGTGTATCCGCCAGGCCAAGAGCAGTCGCCAAGAAGCCGTCCAAATGAACATATTTACGGCTCTGCTATGTGCTCTAAAGAATCTGACAGATAGCAAGAGTAGTTTGGGTCAGGAGGATGTAAGAAAGAGCGCCACAGCATTAGTAGTTGCTTCATTGACAAGTGCCAATTCTACTATACGATGTGCGGCTGGAGAGGCTTTGGGAAGATTAGCCCAAGTGGTGGGAGATTCTCATTTCACCGCGGAATTGGCCCAAAATAGCTTCGATAAATTAAAATCTGCAAGAGATGTCGTCACAAGAACTGGTCATTCGCACGCCCTGGGCTGTCTGCATCGCTATGTGGGTGGCATGGGTTCGTCGCAGCATCTTAGCACCAGTGTATCCATCTTGCTGGCCTTGGGTCAAGATAGTGCATCTCCTGTGGTGCAAGCATGGTCGCTTTATGCCTTGGCGCAGATTGCCGATTCTGGAGGACCCATGTTCCGTGGCTATGTGGAGGCCACTTTGACACTTTGCCTAAAACTCCTCCTTACCGTACCTCATGCCCATGTAGATGTACATCAGTGTGTAGGGCGAGTAGTAAATGCTTTGATCACCACCGTTGGACCAGAGTTACAAGGCGGTGGTGGAGCAGTAGCCAGCATGAGAGGATCCTTCCTCTCCTCAGCGGCTCTTCTTCAAGCCCACGCTGATCCTCTAGTGCAAGCAGAGGCTATTGGTTGCCTGCAGCAGTTACATCTGTTTGCCAGTAAATCCCTGCAATTGGAGGAGCTGGTGCCCACGTTGGTTGGAATGTTGGCCTGTAACTATTTCATACTTCGCAAGGCCGCCGTTTCCTGTCTCCGGCAGTTAGCTCATCGGGAAGCTAAGGAAGTGTGTGACCTGGCTTTAACTATTAACGCTGAACAACTTCCAGATTTGATAATCACCGAGTATGGCCTTCCAGGGTTGCTCTTCTCTCTACTGGACACCGAAACGGATGCAGAGATGCTTAAGAACATTCACGACACACTTACTTCAATGTTGCAAATGCTAGCTGCAGACAATCTGAGTTCCTGGTTAAGTCTCTGCAAAAATGTTTTAACTGTAGCTGTGGAAGGGGGACTAAACGATGATCCTGCTGGCGGAGAACAAGGCAAGGGAAAGGATGCTGGCGGTGAAGATGAGGAAGAAGACGAGGAGGAGGAGTATGCTGATGATGTAACAGAATACCGAGCAGAGGAGAACACTTCCACCCATCCGGCAGTGCAACCAAGGTGGCCTACTCGTGTTTTCGCCGCTCAGTGTGTCCGCCGGATCATTGCTAGCTGCGAGGCTGCTAGCTCTGTGCACTTCGATCTCCTGCAGGCCAAGGAACAGCAACTTATTCGCTCCCGCGGAGATTATCTTATTCTCCATTTGGCAGAACTAATTCGAATGTCCTTCATGGCAGCCACATCCGATTCTGACCAACTGAGATTGGAAGGTTTGCGCACTCTGCAGGAAATTATTGATAGATTTGCTAACGTTCCAGAACCGGAATTTCCTGGTCATCTCCTATTGGAACAGTTCCAGGCCCAGGTGGGAGCCGCTTTGCGTCCGGCATTTGCGCAAGATACTCCTTCCCATGTTACGGCTGCCGCTTGTGAAGTATGCTCAGCTTGGATTGGCTCTGGGGTGGCTCGCGATATTGGAGATCTAAGAAGAGTTCACCAGTTGCTTGTGAGTTCACTTAGTAAGCTTTCTACAAAAACCAATAGCACTCAGTTGTATAACGAATCAATGGCCACTTTGGAGAAGTTAAGCATTTTAAAGGCCTGGGCTGAAGTCTACATTGTGGCAATGTTAGGAAATGGAAAGGCTCCAGCTTCCCTCCTGAATCTCCAGTCTCAACAATCTGGCGTACCATCCCTGAATAATCTGGAAACGGATGAGGATGTCCCTGACAGTCGTGGAGACAGTCTTCTTGGATTAGTACAACCAGAGCTACACAATCTATCTACTCACTGGCTTAGTGCCATGAAGGATCACGCATTGCTCCTACTCCCGGCGGAATTCCAGTCCCAACTCCCTCACGACGGAGGCGCTTTCTACACTACGGATACAATTAATTCATCAAAACCGCACTACATGACCAGTTGGCCACCAATCCTCTACGCCTCTGCCCTTTGGTTGAGAGATGAGGGGTTTGCCCGCCATCAAGATACAAGTGAAACGACAGCGGAATCTAACAATAACCAGATCACGCACGGTTCTCTGTCAGCGGATCGTTTCCACATGATCTTTGGCATATGCATGGAAGCCCTCTGCAGCATGAGAAGTTCTGAAAGACCAAGGAATATTGTGAGTTGTCTACGGTCGCTGCATAGCATCTTCGATTCGGATTGGGCAAGGAGGCAATTGGTCAAGGATCGAGCCCTAACTATTGAACTCTGTCACGTTCTACACCGTCAGATCTTGACGAGAGACGAGTTGCTGGTGCAACTGCTGTGCGTGGAAATTTTAAAGCAAACTATTCGCGCTGCGAGGGAAGATTTGGAAAGGAAAAGGGATGATAATGCAAATTCTGAAGACGGAAAAGGTGGAGAGCGGCTAGGAGAAGATGACTCCATGCAACCAGGAAGCTCTCATGTATACGCCGTCCTAGAGGTTTGCCTATGCCTGTTTGTCCGCCAAATACCTACAATGAATCCCACAAGACAGGGAGCAGGTGGCTCTGGCTTGCAACTGGACTTTGCTTATGCGAAAATGGCCACCGGCTCCTCCTTCTTTTCGGTTCTGGGTGATGATAACGGCCTGCTGGTGGCCAGTGGACTGCAATGTGTTGAACAATTGTTGGATCTGTGTACTCCTAAAGGTGCCCTAGCAATCCTGCCCACCGTCCTGTATATGACTACCAGTATCGTTAAGGAAATTGCCAACAAATCGGCCATAGATAGTACCATATTGGCAAATACAAGTGCTGTAAAATCTGCCCTGCAGTGCTTGCGATCCGTTTGCGTCCACAAGTGGGCCAAAGTAGAGGAAACATCTGATGAATGGCAGCAGTTGCTTCAGAGTGCTCTGGCCACTATTGTGGATCTCACAAAAACAGCTGGAGATAACGAGGAGAGAAAAGTCGACGAGGTTACTATGCTGTTAGCTATTACTGTTTTCATCCTTCACACCCCAGCTTCTGTTGTGGCCACGCCCTCGCTGCAATATCCCTGCATCAATCACTTTCGGCAGTGCCTGCAGTCGGAACACCTTTCCGTGAAGCTGCGCTGCATCGAGACCACGAGATCGATCTTCGCGCAAGCGGAGCTGAAAACAGCTACTCCCTACATCCACGCTCTTGCGCCTCGGATGATCGAGTCATTGTATGCGGAGTCCAGCAAGGTGCCCACTAGCGAGCTGGAGCTGCAGGTCACACTCGAAAGCATTGTTACCGTGGAGCAACTGATTGACCTGTCGGAGCCACAACATCGTAAGTATTCATGTATTCAAGGTTAAATTAAAAATCTTTTTGTTTGATCTTTAAATTTCGGGGTACTCCTGTGGGTGTCTTCCGGGATGAATTTGGGAGTTCATATACTAACTATAGCAAAAAACAATTGGTTTATTCAGTTATTCCTACTTAGTTATTTTCTTTGAATCGGTTGTTTAACTTTTATATGGTTGCAAAGGATATAATTTTATAAAATTTAGTTTCAGAAAAAAAAGGTTTGCCCAAAAGGTTTTTATATACCATTCATCCTAAAATAGGTCAAAATATTATTCTTATTTCTCATCACAATTTTTGTGCAGGAGTACCCCTTTTTAGAATATAGTTTATAGCGATACCCCTATTCCTGCCTTTCTAGTTGACACTCCTTTTCAAAACCTAACATTTACATAGCTCTGCATTCTCTGCATTAGGCTGTTCTGCCATCTGAATCTATTTTCCTCAAATGTCTCTTCGAACGCAGCCAAATTATTGATTGAGTAACATTTATTAAGAACTGCACACTTTTGAGACAAGAAAAGGAAATACGTTATTATATATTTGCTCTTTTCTCTGTCTTCTCTTCTAATCAACTCACAAATCATTTATAAAACACTTATTTAAACAAAAAACAAAATAAACCGTTAGGAAACATGAACTTGCTACAAGGTAAATAGAAGAGCTTGATCAAAAATTCACGTTCCATGTCGACAAAGCGTTTCAGAAATATAAGACAGTTTAACTTAAAATTTAAAAGTTTATATTGTATATTTTCTATAAACATTAACTACCAACCTCATCTTAAATAATTAAAGTATCCAGTAATTATAAATTTTATTCTCAGATGTGTTTACTGTCTTGCAGTTTTGAAATGCCCCGTTTATGCACACTCAATGTTTTTCAATGCACAAATCCATAGAATAGCTGAACGATTAGTTTTAGATGCCTAACGAAAAAATCACGCTTTTAATGTTGCACGTATAAAGTAAAATGTAACTGGATACAGCACTGTGTCCATATCTGTGAATGGGTGTTCAGTGTCTTCTGCAATAAGCATTAAATGTTAATAATTACCTCGCCTCCTTTTCACAGACATACAAATGCTAACTCTGTTGGTGCCCGTGCTCATTGGATTCCTAGCTGAGACAAGTCGACTGCGTACGCTGCCCAAGTACCAAAGGCAGTTGCACGACCAGGCGCTACAGTGGCTACTGAAAATCGGTCCCAAATATCCGCAGGAGTTCAAGGCCCTAATGGGCCAAAAACCGGAGCTGCGACAGAAACTAGAAGCGGCTATTCGAAGCCAACAGCAGTCCATAAACATTGCCCAAAAAGCAACCGAGGCGCGACGGAACCTGCTGGCCAAGCCACAGAAGCCTACAATTAAGCTGAAGACGGACTTCAGTAACTTCCAATGAGTGGTTCCACCGGGAAATCAAACAAAGTAGTCCACAACCCGCTAGTGCTATCGAAAAATGCTTTGCAATGATTCGTTACCGCATGTACAATAGGATGGATCGGTTCTTTAGACATTAATTGTGAATCTGGATTTAATGTTTCGACAATTCTGGGCTAATTTGACATCTGGTATAAAGGTTTTCTTTTAAAACGGTTCTTAACACGCAAGAAATGAATATTTATTTTGAGCAGCTTTCAGAAAATCACTCAACGACTTTAAACATTTTAAAAGACAAAGACATTTATTCAGTGTAAAAGATTAAATGTACAATGTAACCTTTAGTGTCCGAAGCAATAATTTTTTAATATTACATTCAGAAACTCGAGCCACTCTAATGTACATCGCTAGGGTACGCCTGCGGTCAAGCATTTGATTTTGCTGTATGTGAAACACAATGAAAGTACCTACAAGTTTATAAATTATTTGTTAGCTATTGTAATGAATTATTATACAACGCGATATAAATTAAAAATAAAAACTTATAAAGCTTAACACTTAACATTGCTTATCTATTTCTAAGGAACTATATACTCCATCTCCACCTCTAGCTTGACTGTATTTATAATTTCGTCCTCTCTGAGGGGCTCAGATTTTAAATTGTTCTTTGGTTCCGGTTCGTGATCGAGCAAGCTTATATTGGTACCCATTTTGGCATAATCTGGTGAGGGTCGTGGCATAGACACTAAGGCTGCGGGTAAATCTAAAAAGAGCTGCGACTCTAGCCGGCTGAGAAGTGTCGTGCGGTAGAAGAGCGCTCGCAACCGCTGACGGAAAAGTTGAATGGGCGGTGCAGATTCATCATAGACAAAATCCTTGGCTTTCGAATCATTTTTACGGGAATCTCCGGATAGAATGCACATGGCCCGGAACCCCATCATCGTAGACCAATTTGGCGGCAGCAGTGGGCTCTTTAAATCACAATTCTCATCCGGCAGGTTTCTCATCATGATATTATAGCTTTTAATCAGTTTATTCGGCATTGAGATTGTTTGTAAGAGCGAGGGACGGATTGGTGGCTTATATGCGAGAGCCCTGACCACGTGCGCGAGGTTGTAAACGTCTTTTGGAATTGGGAATATTGTCGGAATTGTCAACGGCAATTTATAGCTGTACTTAAAGAATTCTATGAACTCAATGTCGACTTTTGAAAGCAGAGTAGAATTGTCTTCTTTTCGCTCAGTCCTAGCCTTTTTCGCTCTGGGTTCTCGCACTTGTGATCTTTTTGTCCTTTGAGCTGTCATCAATGACTCGGGGTCTTCCTGCCATTCTTGCAAATGCTGCGCCCAATTGTCCGAATTGACAACCGACATTTTCCTCAGCCGGCGTCGGGGCAAATCTTCTACTTTTGCATTCAGATTCTGTTCCATAAATTTCTTGATTACCAAATAGCGCGTTCGACAGCTGGTACGCGAGTGATTACCCAAAAACGCAGCGCAATTCAGCCACTGAGAAGGCCCGTACTGGGTTACAAAGCTCATAAGTCGGTTGTCGTCCTGAACCGACCAAGAGTCAGTCTTGTTGCGTTGTGAGAGCACATTGTGGTAACGCGTCCGTAGCTGTGCCAACGATCGGTTTGGAAAGAGCGTTCTCGGGAAACAGTGAAACTTGCCATTGTACTCCTCTACGGCGGCAAACAACATCATGTCCTCTTTAGTAGTAAAAGGATCTGCACAATAAGAATGAAAGTAATTACAGGAAAGTAGGATTTGCCTATTTGAATTTTTTGTAAGTATTTATAAAATACCCACCATGGCTAATGCTGGGATGAAGCACGTAGTAGTAACGGCCAATCAGTGTTGACTTGGACTTGCCCGGGAAATATTCCACTACCTTTTTCCAATTAATTACGCCATTTGCTGTATTTTTCTCAGCCAGATCACGGAGCCTCTCGTTGTCCTCGTCGCTCCAGCGATAGCTCGTTCTTGGCTCCACAAGATGACGAAGAGCGGTATTAAAGCGGACGAAGCACTGGTAGTCGGAGCGCCGGTCTAGGGACGATGCTATTAGTTCCCAGTTCTGCATTCGGTTGGCAGAGGCCGCCGCTAGCAGAGCCTCATCCTCGTCGGGCGACCAATCGTCACGATTTATATCGGGACTCAGATAGACTTGCCACATGGCTTCACAACTATAAGGAGAGTGCCGAAATTCCAAATCCAGGGTGCTGATCTGGTTCCAATCAATCCTGAAGCCGCTATCCACCGTAGTCAGTAGAGAGGCTAGCGAGTTAAGATGTCGCTCGGTTGGCTTCCGCTTTAAACTGGCACTGGGTATTATGTCCATCTTCTGGGCGTTGTAGTCAAGTAACTACCGATTTAAATAAAAAAGTTTATATACATAAGTACTAAATACTACAGGTTAATGAATACCCCTTACTATATTAACCATTTTAAAAATAAACATTCGAATATTTTTACGGGAAATTTATTGAATTTACTGGTGCCATCCTTTGTTAAGCCCGTAAAAGATGGGTTTACTGGAAGCCCTAAAAACCTTATTAATAACTTTTAAAATGATGTTCCCATTTTATAAATCAATAGGTATTGACAAAGAAAGTATATAAGAAAATATATTTATACTCAATCCAAACCATCAAAATTGATATTGAAGACGCCATAGTTTCTCACCGTTTGTGAGCGTGCCAGGTTGCTGAACTAGCTAAACTTGCGCTATACAAGCTTTTTGCGGAATCTGCATTCTAGCATATTTCAAACATTCTTTTACAGGATAGACGATCATAGCTAAATAAACTTGGCTATTGACCCTGATCAAGAAAACATATACTTTATGCAACAAAGATTCACAAATAAAAACGAAAATATGATTAGGGGTTAGCCCTTATCAAAAATAAGGCAACCTTCCGTGTAAAATAATTTAAGACAATTTGATTTATTGTTTTTTGGTCACACTTTGCGTTAGCTTAGAATTGTACTTTCCAGAAATATTCTTGTGCTACTACATATTAAGAGGCATCTACAAATGGATACCGGTAAGATTATCCAGACTCGCTTGTTTTTAATAGTTTTTAACCTTTTTTGTTTCTTCTGTAACAAAGATGTGTCTGATTTTTGGAATATCCTTAAGGCGGATGTGCTCAAAGCCGACAAAGCAGAAAACATCAGTAACAAAGACAATGGTATAATAATCGATCTGGAGATGGCTTTACATTCCATTTTTCCCAGAGTCCAGATTTATGCATTTGGGTCCCGAGTTATGGGTGTCGGTGTTGAACATTCAGATTTGGATTTGTACTTGAGCATTGGTATGTAGATACTAGCTTCATATGTATGTATGTATGTAGCTCTCAACGAGTGTTTTTTATTTTTATTTTACAAGGTAGTGGTTTATACAGCGAGAAGCCGTCCAAGGATGATTTTCAAAATCAGGTGAAAGTTGTCGAGGCTATCAAAAGGAATTCTTCGAAGTGGGCTTTTATTCGCAAAACCAGTGGCAGACTTCCTTTAGTAATTGTTCGGCACAAAGCTTTGAATATCCGTTGTGACATAAGTTTTTCGACGAAGATGACTTATGATCAGAACCAGCTGGTAAAGTATATTTTTAGTTTGCAGCCCATAGGTAGGTATTTCATCTCAAACACATACATATGTAAGTAGTTAACAATCTTTGTCTTCTATAGCTCGATACATGGTAATATATCTTCGAGGCTTGTCCCACAGATATCAGATTCGCAAATTTCGGGCCCATATACATATATTAATGGTAATATATTTTCTTCAAGTTCATCATAAACTACCAAGCATCTTCGATTTGCAATTTGGTCTTTCACCAAACATTTTCCGTAAGTCACTACACGACTTGATGAAAAACGATCGTCTAATACACTTATATGTCCTAAATTTAGCTTGGATAACCAATTATAAAAATTTGGGTTTGTCTCATTTCGATATGACACCAATCCCATTGAACGAAGGAGAGGCTCGTTCGATTATGAAATCTTTTTTCAACTACTATTGTGGATTTAATTTTGAACTACTAGTCGTTTGTCCCTGGCTTGGACGCCAGGTCCAACGCGATGAGCTGAATTCACTTTTACCGAATAGGTAGATTCTTATTCAGTTTAATTTTTCAACACGTTCTCATCTCTTCTCTACTTTAGATTTCAAGGCTATCGTTTAATAAATACTGCCCGCCACCCAATGATCTTACAGGATCTAGTACATCTAAACCAAAACAAAGCCTATTCTATTGAAATTACAGACTTGGAATATTTTAAACAGATATGTGGCCAGCAAGAAAAAAACATATAATGTGAATCCGATTTAAAATAAATCTTAAAACTTTAGGAAAACATTACTTTATATAAAAGTTTAATTTAAAATAAGTTGATACATGGAAACATGTATAATTACCCGTTGGTGTGATGATCAAGCTTCAGCATTAATCGTTAATTCGGCTGGATACCCAGTTCAGAATTTCAAATATTGAATGAGCCGCTTACCTGTTGCTTAATTCCCATTATCACGTTTTTCTTATCCAGCAATGTCCAAACATGGCGGGAGTGCATGTCGAAGTCTGTGGGAAACATCTCAGTATGACAACGCGTCTCGTAGTCCTCGTTGTTGGGACAACTCCGGCCGTCTATGTCCCGGAAGAAGAGATTGCCCTTAAAGCGGAACGTACCCTTGCGCAGAATCGCCCCGCTCAGATTGAAGGAATCTGGGCTAAATTGAGTACGTGGTCGCAGGCGCCGAACAAGGATGTCCTCATTCCGGTCGAAGCGGGCTCTAACTATTTGCAATATTGTCAGAATCTTAGACCTGACCTGCAAAAGGCGGCGCTGAAGCTCCTGATTCAGCTGCAGAGCATTTTCATCACTGGATTCCGCGGTGGTCTGCAGCAGGGTGGAGATCTCGGCCATCAGTTGCTGCTGGTTTATCCATAGATCCCCCACATCGTCCATTGCACGGTTTGTTTGGTTTTTATTGGCAGGGTGTTTAGTGATGGACTAAGACTGGCCTAAAACTATCGATAACATTTATGGCGGGCAATTAGGAATGGTCTAGATTATTAATTAAGAGATATATTTTAAATTTATATCACTGGAAACTTAACAATTATTAAAAGTAATTAGAAACAAAAGTAAATGGAGGGTCTATTGTTTTTGTAAGAAATTTAAATTTAAAATTTAAAAATATAACGAAACAACGTTTTCTTCAATTCTTTAATGCCTTTAGATTTTGGCTTTTAATATGTATATATACCAATAGGTATATCTATTTGGAGCTTAAGCTTGAAAATACCATTAAGTCCAAATCAAATTTACGATCCTTATGAGGACAGTTGAAACCCTGTCCAGAAGAACAATGGTTAGGAGTGTTGGAACATTTAACACTTCAGCATTCTTTTTTCAAGATGGTAGATACTGAAAAGATTGCTACATTGCTCCAGATTTTTAACCATAAAAAGGTTTTGGACAATATCGTATATAATCAGTGCGTTAATACTCTTGATCCTTTAAAAACCAGAATATGGTAGGTCTGATTCAAAATAATATTAATAACTAATGTGAACATCCTTAAACAGTTCCTATCAATATCAAGGCATTCTCCTCATAGATACATATACTTTTTTTATTGAGCGTTAATTAAAGCATTAAAGCATAATCGGCATTAAAGAAAATTAATCAATAAAATAAAAACAAAACAAAAAACGGTTTATCTATAGTATTCAAATTTTGTTTAAGACTTTCAAATGTGCTAGGTGATAAAGAGTGTGCAAGATGAAAAATGTATATAAATTAATGTACTTAAAATATATGATACGATAATGTACTTAACTTGGAGATACGGTTTAACTTTTCAAGATCACTGGATCGAAAATATTGTGTAATTTAGAACAACAGTAATACTCCAACAGCGAAAATCAGAAGAAATAAAATAAATCTTAAGAAAACCATTAATCAATCTAAGTGGTCTCGCCATTTGAAAAATAATAAATAACAATGTTATTAATACTAGCCCTTCTCGGAGTGACCTTTTTTTTGGCCTATAGTTTTTACCACAATACCTATACCTACTGGGCCCGAAAGGGGGTCCCCTATGAGCCCCCTTTGCCACTAATTGGCAACATGCTGGGCTTGGGTACTAAATATAATTTACGGGACGTCAACCAAAGGATCTACAACAAATTTAAGGGAAAGACCCCCTTGGCCGGAATGTTCTTGTTCTTCAAGCGAACTGCCTTAATAATCGATCCGAATCTTATCAAAGAAATTCTTATTAAGGACTTCCATCACTTTCAAGATCGGGGCGTTTTCAACAATGTTCGTGATGATCCTTTGACGGGCCATTTACTCACATTGGAGGGTCAAGAGTGGCGATCGATGAGGCAAAAGCTTACTCCTGTTTTCAGCTCTGGAAAAATCAAGCAAATGTCAGGTGTGGTTGTAGAGGTGGGTCGCCACCTGACGGATGCCATGGATAAGTCAGTGAGTGCCGCCAAGGTGGACGATGGGGACGTGGAAATAAAGGACCTCTGTGCCCGTTTCACAACGGATGTCATTGGTTCATGTGCCTTTGGGCTGGAATGCTATAGTCTCAAAGATCCCAATTCCGAGTTTCGTACCAAAGGAGCTATGATGTTCACTAGACCGCGTCACTCAATGTTGGTGCAAGCGTTCATCTTCACCAATACCAAATTGGCCAAAAAATTGCGAATGAAGGTATTACCTGATGATCTCACCAATTTTTTCATGGCAGCAGTGAAAAACACCGTAGAATATCGCCTAAAAAGTGGAGTAAAGCGGAACGATTTTATAGATCAGTTAATAGAGCTCCGTGCCGAAAACGAAGAGGCGGCCAATAAAGGTAAGGGTATTGACCTATCAAAGGGTCTGACCCTCGAGCAAATGGCAGCCCAATCATTTGTATTTTTCATCGCTGGATTCGAGACCTCGTCGAGTACGATGGCTTTCTGTTTATACGAACTAGCTTTAAATCAGGATATTCAGGATCAAGTCAGAGAGGAGATTGAGAGTGTTCTTGAAGGAGAAGAGATATCGTACGACACCCTAGCCAAAATGACATATTTAGAACAGGTGGTGGCTGGTAAGTAACATTTTTATTGGTTTATATAAAAATCAGAACTCAGTTATTCCGTGACAGAAACACTGAGGAAACATCCTGTTCTTTCACAAATTATTCGTGAATGCAATCAGAGCTACAAGGTTCCCAATACAGATATTGTCATTGAGAAGGGAACTTCTGCCCTGATACCTGTGCACAACATTCACCACGATGCTGACATATATCCGGATCCCGAACGCTTTGATCCCAGCCGTTTCGAGCTGGAAGAAGTCAACTCCCGTCATCCATTTTCCTATCTGCCGTTTGGAGACGGGCCCCGCAATTGCATCGGTATGCGCTTTGGAAAAATGCAGGCCAAGATTGGCCTGGTATCTTTGCTGCGTCGCTTTAGGTTCGACATTTCTAAGAAAACAGAAGTCCCCCTGATTTTGGATACTCGAAGTCCCACTTTGTCCACCAAGCATGGAATTCACCTGAAAGTGGAACGTATCTAATCCCGAACTCCTTAAAAAACCAATTGCAATTAGTCGATTGCCGCGACTACAAGATACCCGTTACGGTCTTATCCCAATAAACTTGCGCTAAGCCTAACCTAAAACCTAAAATTCTTAATAATTAGCGAAAAATGTTCCGATTTCAAAAATCTTTGGTAAATCGATAGATATTTGCCAAAAATAAATGTTATACAAGGTCAAACGAAGACATTCATTATAATATTATAGACGCCACAGATTTCCGCGTGGCCGGATAAAAACTGATTCCAAGCTGCATTGCCATCTCTAAAATATGTATTCCTAAGCCTAACTTTCTAGCTGTTATAGCTCCAGAGATTTTCTCATTTTTGGTATTGCGGATTTTGTGGGCGTTAGACTGGGCGTGGCTAGATGGAAAATAACAAGTTACCAAGAAATCAGCATTTCTACAAAATGCAAAAACCGTCTTTCGAGCTTGTTGACCGTTAGAGTGGGTGTGGCCTGATAATGGTACTTAATCTCAACTTTCTAGCTCTAATAGTTTCTGGGATTTCGAAGAATTTAGTTTTCGTGATTTCTGGGCGTTAGAGTGTGCGTAGCTGGATGGAACTTTATATCTTTTATAGTTCCTGAGATCTTAGCATTCATACGGACAGATGGGCGGACGGACGGTCAGACGGACATGGCCTTATCGTATTTGGTCTTGATACTGATCAAGTAATATTAATAGGGTCGGAAACGATTCCTTCTACCTGTTTCATACTTGCCAACGAACCTAATATACCCTTTTACTCTACGATTAACGGGTATAATACATTTGCAAAATCAGCATACCCCTTATAAGTTGAGAACACCTATCGATACCGATGATTCGCAGAAACTAGAGAATAAGCAGTGACCGATTAGTCTGTTAATCGCTAATCGCCTATCGCTGCTCGGGGACAACAAAAGCGAACAGAGAGAAAAACGCGCAGTAGCAATTTAATTAACAAAATTCGAGGTGAATGCGCTAGCATAACATGGACGATGTCCCGGTCAAGATAGTCGAGCGCTACAAACCTCCGCCTGCCGTTTTTCACCTGCCGCAGGCTACTCTCAACCGTCTGACGCAGTTCCGTGAAGACTTCTATGCGGATCACCCGGATTACAAGTATGATTGTCAGCTGGAGCGGGCGGTGGTGAGTCAGGCGGAACGCTGGCGCCAGCTGCGTTGCCAGCAGCGGGAGGAACGGACCAGACGCCAGGAACGCCGCAAAGAGGAGCGCCAAAGAGCGCTGGAAGCCAGGCAGAAAGAGATGCTTGGAGCAGTCGACTATCCCAGTACGGACGACTTGTCATCAGACGAGGAAGAGGAAAAGACGGACGCAGAATGGAAGGAAAAGCAACAGCATGCCCCTCCAACCACAATTGAGTCACGCGACTCCTCGCACGAACCAAAGTCAATAAGCGTGTGCAATTTCCACAACATCTTGCAGCCCACCATTCTTAGCACCACTCCAGTAGCGAGTCCCCAGACGCTGCACAAGCGAAATAGCTCACTGAACTACGCGGATTTCGAGTATAACATGAACTCTACTCCCTTCGATAACATCGAGTTGAAGACCATTAACGATCTGGATATACTTGCCCAAGTGCTGCACCAGACCCAGCTAGAAGAGCGCAGGGATCAAACGCAGCAGCAAAACAATCATCCACGAAATGAAGATCATTTACAGCAGAAAGATCACCCCAAAGAGGAGCATCCCCATCAGGAAGTGCCAGCTCCTGTGGAGCTTACGATGACCACCCTGGCGGAGACCAAAGCGACGCTAGACAGCGTCAATTTCCATGTTCAATGTGATGAAGATGAGGGCCGGAGCGACCCCAGCCACATTCCAGCAACGCCTCTATACTCGACGCCCATGTACAGCGCTTCCCCCCAGCAGCAGCTGCCCACACCGGAACACTTCCAGGTGGGACAATATTGAGTAGTTAGAACAAATGGTTTATTTTAGTCATTTATTCTACGAATGGAATTTGTTACTTTCTTTATGCACCAAAAAATTGATAAATTAAATCGAATTTCGATTTAAGTGCTTAATAAAAGGAAATTTTTATCCACAATTCTATTAATTACTAAATTAATATTATGAAAACATTATTTCATAAATTTCTTTATATATTGTATCAAAGTCTTTAAATTCTCAAAATGGAATTTCATCTATTAACTTACGTTTATTTAGATCAAACAAATTAATTTATACCAATTATGTACTGAGATTGTATCTGATAAATGATTTTCATTGCAGGTGTACAGCCACCAGCCAGTCTACTCCCCGCAGCAACATACTTACCAACGGCAAAATAATTACTATGTCAATGGATTCGGCACGCCCAATCATTTGATGGCGCCTCCAGCGCCTTCCTCTGTGCTGGCTCTTAGCCAGTCTCAGGACGAGGTGTCCACCAAGTCGAGGAGCGTGCCCGACATCCTGCGTGAGCTGAAGACCGAGCTGCAGCAGGCAGAAAATCGTCGCAATCGCCTGCACAGCCACAACGAGGAGCAGCAGCCTATTATGGAGGCGGCGATGAACAGGAACTCTTTCAGGGAGCTGGCTGGACCGGCACAGAAGTTAGCCCAACGAATCAGTACCATGGGATTCCCTCTGGAACGAGTCGCGAAGGTGGTTAGCTTGTGCGGCATCGATGATAAAAAGGTGAGTCTCTTTGGGAACGTTGGACAGAAACAATTATTGGAAATCTCTATAATTTAGATTATAGAACACCTCATACCACTGGGCGAGCTTATGGACCTAGGCTTTGACGAATCGAAAATCTCGGCGGCGCTTCTAAAGTTCAACAATAACAAGGATAAGGCGCTGGACTATCTAATCAACTAGTTAAATTTAGGGGAACATTTTGATATGGCCAGCTTTTATCCCATACCCTCACCCAGCATCCTTTGCCCAATCAGCTTATCGATATGACTCCTCTAAATGTATTTTTAATTATTACAATTTCTTGTGAGATATTCCTTGCTTAAGTTGGGAGTTGAATGCTTCAGAATCCTCAGCAGCAGAATAAATATAAGTCCGTATATTAAGCATAGTTGGTTGGCTCTTTAGTCAATCCATATCCCTCTCAGTTCATACCCAGCATCAGAAGATTAATGGCGTGTTCGACATTTCCATCGGAAAGGTCAAGATAGTCAACATTTTGAGTGTGATTGATGAAGCCCATTGCGGCCATGGTGCGCAGTTGCTCGGTGAACCGATGTCGGCGATAACAGCGAGGTAACACATCACTGTCGTCACCAGCGTTGTCTTCGTCATCCACATCATCCGTAGATGGTGCGCTTACTGCCTCTGGGACTGAAGCTCCACCGGACTCTACTTCCATGTTCTCCACAGGAGGGGGTTGCTGCTGAGCTAGGGATTGAAAAGCGCGGGCCAGCTCATTTCGGAACAATTCTGACGAAATGGAGCCGCTGGTACTGGCTCCACTGCTGTTTCCTGGTCCGGTTCCTGCTGCAGCTCCAACACCTGTTAATGGCACCGAAGTGGTGCGTGGTCTGTCATCACCCTGCAGTGCCTCGTCCGCATTTCTCTGGGCTATATTCGAGAGTGAGTTGAACGAGGTGACGTTGGCCAGGGCATTGGCAAGTTGCTGGCGGCTGATCTGCCGGATGTTGGCCATCTCATCCCGACGGTTGGCGGCCGCGGCAGCTGCCACAGCGGTGCTGCTGCTTCCACCACTGCTGCTGCTGCCAGCGCCCAGAGAGTTCTCTTCCTCTGATGAAGTAGTCGACTCCGACGCAGCCTGTTCTTGAACTAGGTATGTAAAAAAGTACTTTTTAGGGAATCTGAAAGAAAAATCGTACAAAAAAATTCATACATTGAGTGGCTGAGCTGTTTCTGGCCAGTTCCTTCCGAATGGTGTCCACAATAAACGGAGCTGCCTCGCAAATGAGTGGGTAATCCTTGACCAAATTCTGGACAACCTCAGGCTCGTGCAGCATGTTAAACAGCACAGAGTCGCGGATCAGGGCCTGGGCACCCAGATTGCGTCTGAATTCCGGATACTCCGCGAGTATCTTTTGCAATATGTTAAACCGAGAAGTTACGCTGATCTGCAGGTGCGAAGTCAGCGAAAACAGCTCCTGGATGTGCTTCGTGTTGATCTCTGTGGCCGCTGGTGGCACATATGGTGTGTAGCGTTTAATCTTTTGGAAGCAATGGATAACGGAGTTAGGCTGCAGTGTCCGGCTAAGGGTGTCCGCATCCTCTAGCACCAGTCCTTGATGGATGATCTCTGCAAGTGCGCAGCAGATGACTTAGCACAATGAAGACAATGGCCAACAGTATAAGTTTAAATAGGGGGTCACTCACCCAGTTCACTTGCGTCGAATTGCAGGTCCATCTCCTTGGTCACCACCGCCTTCAAATAGGCCACATCCCGCTCCAGATCGATGTTGTGCAGCGGATGCACATCGCTTAGCTTGTTTTTGAGCAGCGCGTACAGGGTATGCATAGTGCGAATAGGAGTTTCGGAATAATATTCGTATTGCACTATTTTCTAGGTAATTTTTGTTTTGTTCAAAGCCTGGTCGGAACTAGTTCAAACGAAACCGATAACACCGATAACAAAACTTAAAGCTATCGGATAACAGTAGTGATAAAAAACTTTAGAAACTTTTTCAAGTAAAATATTAAATCTTACGGAATATTTTTGGCCATTATTTTTAATTATAATTTTTATTAAAATGAAACTGCCAGCATATGAAAAAATATATAACCGTTGAAAATTTACGGTGACCCGGAAAAGTCTGTATATCGATTGAGTTTTATGAATATATTGCTTTTTGACAGTTTACCGCTGTAAATATCTTAAATATAAGTTTCGTAAAATGACCTCCACCGAGACGCAGACAGAGGGAAAGCGTAAGGCAACGCACTCCACTGCCACTGATAAAACGGAGAGCTCCAAACAACATTCTAAGAACGAAAATACTGGAGAACAGGAGCCCAGAAGAATTTCCAATTCCGAATTCCAAAAGAGAGGATCCGCGGATCGGACTGATGAGCCGGTGTTCAGTTGCAAATTTGAAGTGTTCGGAATAGTGCAAGGTATGTGCGCCCGTCTAAGAATACGAATAATCACAATAATTGAAAGTCTTGTACCACCCTCAGGCGTATCCTTTCGAATGGTAAGAAAATGGTTCAAGTGTCCAAAATACAAGGCGAAACTATATAACTTGTAACACTATTCCAACTTTTTAGTACACCTTACGAAGAGCCCAGAAGCTAGGAATTCGAGGCTGGTGCAAGAACACCACAGAAAACACGGTTAATGGCGAAATTCAAGGGCATAGACATTCTTTTGAGTCCATGTAAGTGGCGTTGACGTATCATTCGATGCTCGGTAATGAACATATTTCTACAGGCGCCTGTGGCTAAAACATACCGGCAGTCCCACCAGCCGAATTGACAAGTGCATCTTTGGCGAGACCACTGAACTCTCAGATTTCACATATAGCAACTTCTCGATTGTGGTGGACTAGTTTGTTTTTCAGATTTAAGTAAATTTTTACTAAATTTACAAATTGTATTGTTTGTGCACTGCCTCATTTATGGTTACTTTGTTGTTGGATTAATGAAAAATTGTTTTGCAGATAGAAGTTGGATAATAAGATATAACATTTAAACACAACACACACATTTTTATTTTAAGTCTAAGCATGCAAAGCAAATAAGCAAATTTAATTTTTTTTATAATATAAGCAGAGGACTTCAAGTGTCTACACATTTAATAATTAAATTAATTGTGTTTAAAATATACATATCCATTTGTATAATTTATCTTAGACCCAAATATTTTCTATTAATTTAAAGTTATATTTTTAAAGCACTCCTTTAAATTCAATAATCACCTCTTTCTTATTACAATTTATTGGATTCTAACAAGCCTTAGTTGGTTTTCTTTCAAAAGTTCGATTATTTTTTATTTAAACATCGAATAGTGATACCGCGCATAGAAAACCATTTAATCCCACTGCGTTGGGTGGTTATGTGGATGAGGGCCGGCATAGTGAATGGGAAGTAAATTCTTGTTTTATTCCAATCCTATCGACGAAGCAACAGGTCGTACTGCAGTTTCTCCTCTTAACCGTTTACCAAAAGTGCATAGTCACACAAAAAATAAACCAAAATGGTAAACAGCAAGTTCTTAACATTTAACAATGGCGAAAAGATGCCCGTGATTGGCATCGGCACCTGGCAGGTATTTATAGTCACGATTTTTTTGCTTACTTCTATAATTTATAATTACGTTGTTCTTACTAATGGATAATGGTTAATGGATTCTTAATACTGTTTTGGTTTTACCCAATAAGCGGCCTTAAAAAACTGCTGACATGTCATTTAAATCTCTTCCGCTGCAATCAACAGAATCTGTTTGTGCTGGCAACCGTTGACTGCAGACCGGTTTTCAAAACAAACAATAAACCGTTATTCATATGTAGCTGGGCTAATGTGTTTGACTTTCTCTTGTCCACAAAAAAGTATATTATATACTAATACTATACTGTGCATACATAATTACAACCACTAAACCACATTTGCATCTCCACAATACAGGCATCCGACGAGGAAATTGAAACTGCCATAGACGCGGCGTTGGAAGCTGGTTATCGCCACATTGATACGGCGCCAGTCTACCGCAATGAAAAAGCCATCGGAAGAGTACTCAAACGTTGGCTAGACTCGGGAAAGGTCAAGCGCGAGGAGCTTTTCATTGTGACCAAAGTGCCACCTGTGTGTAAGTAAATAAAACCATATTATGGTTAGATAAAAAAAAATCTGACATATCCGTAAAAATTCTATCGATCAATTAAATATAAAATTGCAGAACATTCGAGATTTTAATATTTCACAATATTTGGCAATGTTTTTTGGTGTTCTAAAAAACACGTTGATAAGATAAGATTATGTTATTATGTTTCGTACTATGAATATTTTATATGATTGATGAGCACAATGATAAAGATTTTTTTAGTGGTGACATCGGGATGTGTCTAGATTTTTTAGAAAAAATTGTTTAAAACTGACTTCTTTATATTAAAATCTGTAATTAATTCCTTATAAGTTTTAAGACGAGGGGATCTTTTTTGGTATAACAATGTTATTGGAAATAAAAAAGTAAAAAACTTATTCTGCTTCTAGCCAACCGCCCCCACGAAGTGGAGCCCACAATCAAAAAATCACTGGAAGATCTGCAGCTGGAATATGTGGACTTGTATTTGGTGCACACTCCCTTCACCATCCTTATCAACGAAGATGGAAGCTTTAAGGTAAGTTGGCTTTAAATTATTTTTAATGTTATAAATATGTATATTGACCTAATCTTATAGCTTGACAAGGATGGACTGATGGAAGTTGACGTGACCACCAATCACGCGGCTATCTGGGTAGCTATGGAGGCTCTGGTAGAGAAGGGCCTCACCAAATCGATTGGTGTATCCAACTTTAGCAAGGATCAGGTTGCACGTCTACTAAAGAACTGCAAGATCCGACCGGCCAACAATCAGATTGAACATCATGTATACCTGCAGCAGCGTGATTTAGTGGACTTTTGCAAGTCTGAGAACATTACAGTGACTGCCTACTCTCCACTGGGTTCTAAGGGAATTGCTAAATTTAATGCTGGGGCCGGCATCGTAAGGGATTTGCCTGATTTGATGGACATTCCAGAGGTTAAGGAGATTGCCGCCGCCCATGGTAAGACGCCAGCACAGGTACTGCTCCGCTGGATCATCGACACTGGAGTATCAGCCATCCCCAAGAGTACGAATCCCGATCGTCTTAAGCAGAATTTGGATGTCTTTGACTTTGAACTAACAGCCGAGGAGGTAGCCAAGTTGTCCAGCTTGGATAAAAACATTCGCGTCTGCGACTTCGCCTTCTTCCATGGGTATAAAAATTAAACTCTTTTAATTTGTGTATTCTAAACTTATTATGATTTTTTTCAGTGTGGAAAGGCATCCGGAGTTCACCTTTAAGAATCAGTACACCAATTAAACAGCATATTTATATTGTAAAAAGTTTATTTCTTTACTCTACAGAGTATGGAAAGAAGGCAACTATTTATGAATGGTGTAAATCTTTTAAAACCATTCTATTTAAGTTTTTTAATATTTCACAGACAACATATGTATTTTAATACTCCACTGTGTTAAATAATATCGACATAAAATATTTTAATTCGAGTAAATTAATGGTTTTCTTTGGCATTCAATAGGTGAAATGTTTTAGTCTTGGTCACGATTTTCAGTTCAACTGGTTTTCCCCCATCCAAAGATTTTCCATCAGGGATATCGTTCGCTTTTCTTCTGTCGTTAACGGCTTCGTTGACCGCATGAGCGGTTGGTCTGGAAAATAACTTTCAAATTAAGAAAAGCTAGCATGCATCGTAGGTTATAGTTAGTATAGAAATATATTTGCAACACAGTTTGTATCTAAGTTTAAACAAATCACAAGTTTACATTAAGCAATTAGTAGCGAGCACGATATCGATACTTAAAGGCTTTGGAAATGATTCGCGACTACGAAAAATTCGAGGTACATATTGTATGTAAAAACATTAAGATCGATTGCGAAGATCCTTTCTCAGTTGCTAATTCCGATGAAATCTTGAATACTTCAGCATTTTAATACAAATAATAATCAAATTGCCAACAAAAACGTCAGGAACTGAGAAATGATCAACAATTGTTAAGAAACAAAACTTCAGCCTAAATCTAGGTTATGAAATTTGGGCCAATCTCATTTTGATTGTCAGGTATTTGGCCACACAGCTTATATTATTTTGCAGTTCGAGTATTAGAAGGAAATTCGTAGTTTCTGTCCCATGCCAACTCACGTGGTCCTCGTCTCCTCATCCGTACTGTTCCTGAAACATTTATAAACACTCATTAATTTAAAATGCACATATAGAAGGGAGATACCTATTCAAAGCAAGCCAACAAAATCACTCACTTCATTCCTTGAGACGCACAAGTCTGATAAACTTCATACTTCGCATGCAAATCAAAAAAATTCATCGATATTCACGTTCTTAAATCTAAGTTACCTGGGCTCTTGATGGCTGCGCATGGCCAAAGTGGCCACCTCGAAAAGACCAATGAAGAAACAAAGCATTAGTGGTCCGAATATTGCTCCCTGCCAACCGATCCAGTACATGCCGCCAGCTATAGCCAAACCATTCAGATAGGGATGTCCACCACTGAATTTGTATGTTTAATAAATTAAATGGTATTGTCTCCTATTATGATTTTTCTCACCCTTTAAGATCCGCATATATGGCAGTTTCAAAAGATGACGGCACGAAGAACTGCAGCAGGAAAAGTATTAGCCCGGCATAAAAGCGGTCTTGGGCTAGCCAGAGCTCCAAAAAGGCTGGCACCGCACACCAGTAGCTTCCTAGGAAAGGAGCAGCCGCCAACATGGCCGCCAAGGCGGACGGAAGGAATACTATTCTGGCCCCAAATACTGTGTGCACTAACCATGTGAACAAGCCCGTAAATGTGGAACATCTGAACATTGAGACTAGTACCACGGTAATGGAGTTTTCCAGAGCATCGGCGATTTTGATGCCCGAACTGGAATAGCCCAAGTACTTGGTGATCTGCAGCGGCGCGTACTTTTCCTGGCTACTCGAGAGCAGATAGAACAGCGCCGTAAAGAATACAATCTTAAAAGGTACGATAATAGAAAATTAGATACTTGTTATTTTCATTTTAAGACTGTTCAAAACAGCTGCGCAATGGTCCTTTTAGAAAAATAGAATATATCGAAAAATGTTACTTGGAACAGTCAAGCTGCTTGAATCAACATTAATAATAAAAGTTCGTTTACTCTACATCAAGTAGCATATTATTCTGTCAGTTGTAAGTTGTATTACATATATATATTTTAAAAAATATATCTCAAATATAATGAGAAGAGTTTAAATATTAATCTATACACTGAAGATAAATATAGGGCATAGTATCTAAGCTATCTAGTGAGTAAAATATCAAAAATGTAATAGTAACTTAAACCAATTTATAATTTACTTACCATGTCTAATATGAATTCAATGCACGCCTGCCCACCAGATAGCACAAGGGATAGAATCTCTCCGGTTACCCCCATGATCATCGAAAGATTGGTTCGGATTATGTGCCACAGCGACTCGGCCACCTCGAGGATCGTCTGTGTATTGCTCTGCGCCCAGCCGATAATTCCCTGTTTTGCCACTAAAACTAGCTCTTTAAAATGTCCTTGGTTAAATAAACGGCCGTTGGTTAGCAGATGCAACACAGAATGAGTTATTTCATAGACGCAAACGAGTGTTAAGGGATGAATAACTAATAAAGAAACTCAACTAAATCTCGAACACCCTTGCAAAAACCCGAAAATGAACTCAAAAAATTGATTAGTAAATCGGGGCAAAAGAGAATAGAAGAAGCCGTAGTAAGGTGAGCAAAATCTTACCTGGATTATCAACAATCTCCCCAAATGTGCTTTTCAGTGCATCCGTTGGCACGCGAGGACCGTAAGAGGTACCCGCTTTGTTGAAATCGATCCAGTACTGAATGAGCCTGTCCCACACGTCAAGAATTTGCTCCTTCAGTTTGGTGGCGTGTACCTTGTCCGCATCCGCCAGCCAGTCATCAATGTATGTTTCAATTTTACGACGCCCATAATGGTGTGCATTGTCTAAAGCATCCTCGATGGACGATTGCATGTTTGCAGGCAAGATATCTATTAGCTCAGGCCGATCTGTGATCGTCTTGTTAATTAGATCCTTGCCCAAGTAAGCAACTTCAATCGTCTCCGAGTAAATGTTCACGCAAAAGAACACACTCAGAAACACGATGATGAGCAACATAAGGATGATCATTAGAATGGAGGTGACTGATTCCACGGAGGATTTTAGGGAGTCTCGCACAATAGTATTGATCTTGTAGTTTAGTTCCAGAACACCGGGCAAACATAGTGGCAGAACGGCGGAGTGGTGTTCGATGGCCCATGACTGCAAAAGTTATAAAATTATTTAAATACATTAATCAAAAAATGATTCAAAACTCACTCGTAGTGCCTCGTATACTTCGTTGACCTTGCTGCAAACAAACTGAGTGATTCCCGTATAAGCTCCAACGGTGTAGATGAGATGCAGGAATACTGGAATAGCTGCTAGAATAAACATCCACACGTTGCGATACAGGAATGTGCCCAGACAGGCGTAGAAAAGGAGCTTAAAAAACGTATCGCTCTGGTGGCTGGCAGACTCTGTTCCCGGCTTGACATCAAATGTGTCCGTGGAGTCTACAGTGTCACTCAATGAAATGTCCTCTATATCCGACTGTAAGCCCGGACTAATGGGACTGCTTGGCCTGCCGCAAAGGCTGAAATTGCTCAAGGACCGCTCAAAATCGTTTTTGTCAAACAACTTCTGAAGGCGGTGGAGGTAGGATCCTGAATCCTCTAACGTCTGAAGGTGATACGCTGTAGACGCTGTAACATAGGCCATAACCAGCAGGAAAACCGGCACCTGAAGGGCACCAAGAAAGCTGCTCAGATAGCCGGCCACAGCAATCCACATAGACTGACCAGCGACCACAAAATGGGCGCTGTTCTCCGGCTTCCAAAAGAAGTGAACGCAAGTCAAATAGACCACAACAAGGGAGATGAGCTGCGGAATAGGAAAACTTTTTCATTATTGTAAAAAATTATTGGCAAACAAAAATATGCGAGCATCGGAATAATAATATTCATTTAAGTTTAAAGACTAGTTTTGTAAGACAACTTAATTCTTAATTTCTGACCGGTTTTTAAGTTCACTTTGAAACTTTGGTAACCAAATCAATGACTCACTATTGAAAAATCATCCAGCTACATACCACATACACGTTGAGGAATCCGATAACTTGAACGAACAAGCCATGCGAAAAGGATATCCAGTGCCAGAGAGCCAGAAGGAAGCCCTTGGGAGCGTACAGAACCAGGAGCTTGATGCAACCGGCCACTCCGCATCCGGCAAGCAGCAGTTGCCAGTGCTCACAGAGCCATCCGATCAGCAAGCGGCCGCAGTGCTCCGTTGCCTCCAGCGGCGATAGGCATATGGATACCAGTACGTTTGAATCGCGTTCCTCCAGGCGCTGGAACCAACCATTCACACTTTCCGCCAGCCGCCGCTTGAATGGGAAGAGCACGGCGCCCATGAGAAAGGCCCAAAGAAGAGGACGAACAAAAGGTCCGAGGATGAAGCAGACGGCAACAAATGCTGCCACTCCTGCGGCAATCAGGAAGTTGTACATGGCAGCGCGAAAACTCTCATGGTTCTGGGACCTCATCCGGAGTAGTCTATTGAGTACGCTGTCGAATGAGCGGTCCCGCCGAATAGGAATCGGCTCCGATCTATTCATATTGGAAAGGAACTGAAGATGGAAAAAAAACCGGATTGTAGTTCCGCGACCATGTGCGGCACACCCATATGACTATTTTTGGATCAGCTCCGCTGATGGAAACTCACTTAAATGGATTTTCGGCGTTCTTTCGTCAGCAATAGTTGTTTCTCATAGGGGTCTGGGAGGGATGTCGGCGGAGGAGTTAATAGTTTCCGCAACTAGACGTGGTCATCGGAAACGGGCGGCAGCAGCTTCCCATTCGCTTAGATTGGGGCGGGGGAGCGGGCTGATATAAACAAAAATAGTCGATTCTAGCCAATTACGTCAGGCGGGCAGGGCTGTGAAGTGAGATGCTGTGCAACACTGGCGCACAGTAGGCATCTGCTAAAAGTAAAAACAATTTAAAACTAAAAAGAGGCATAAGACATAGGGAGGAAATTTAAATTGTACACATTTTTAGCATTATAGTTGTATAATAGTCATGACTCTGTATTAAAAACTTACAATATGGGTATATGGGTACCATTAATATCGACGTGTGTAATAATTCTTGTTTTTTTGAAATAAGACTTATCGATTAGATTATCGAAAAGATTATTTTAACCGATTCCGCGGGCTTCAGCATGAAGCAACTAAAGAGGGTTCACCGTATCCAAAGCATTCCTCACTTTTCAACACTGACCATTTTTAAAACAAAAAATAGACGCTATGGAAAGTAAGCGGGATTAATTCCATTTTATTATAATATTAAACTTTACAATAATTGCAGAACTAACTCTGCAACAATTGGTGGATCTGCAGAATATTCAGATTGAGATAAACAGCAATAAGGACACCTACCTGAAGACTTACCGTGAAACTCTTAAAAGGAAATTCAGAATAGAATTAAACAATTTGGTAGGTGGTCTTGGCATCGAAATACTATTCGCAATGTATGTAAATATTTATTATTCCCACAGGTTCGAGCTGATTTTAATATAGTTAAAACTGAGTTAAAGGTTCCTCAGTTACCACCCCTTCCTGTCGAAGAAGAGAGAACCCCATCCACATTACAGGTATGTTTGTTTTAATAAGCATTGGCAGTCTCTTTGTTTACTAAAAAATTTAAGTAACAGTTCAGCGATTTGGTAAAAGACTACGATTTCACAATGGACTGCTTGTCCTTGCTGTAGGACTGCTCCGATCGGTCTTTGGTACTGTTCAGCCAATATCCATGCAGAACTCGATATATGTGCTGCAGGCACTCAAAAGATGGAGATTGGCTCTGAGAATAAAGGGTATAAACATTACACAACTTTACAAAGTGAGAAGGGCAGGAACTTACATTGAATAATGGTACAATGGGCTGTTTCTTAAACTCGCTCCCTTTCGTTCTTAATATCAGCATGTACTTTACATCCAACTAAAAAATATTATATAAATACAATTTTCAACAAAAAGTAATCAAAATAAAGCGCTAATAAAACGTTTTAGAATATGAAGAATTTTTTAAAGTATCCTTCATATTTTATGAGCTTTGTTATAAAAATTTGGATTTAAGATATGACGTATTCTTATAATATACCAAAATCTAACAAAAACAATGATATACGTATATGTAGTTCTTACATCTTCAATGACTTCGTTGAGAACTATATCCTCAATGTGTCCCCTCTGGACGCATAGGACTGATTCCCTGCCGAAGGACCGCACTGTCTCCTTCTGCAGGGCCATGTCCCAGCTGTAGAATAACCGCTCAGCCTGCACCAAGTTCAAAGTGGAACGGATCAGCAGGATTGCGACGGAGACACAAGTAATCAGTGGGTATAGGATGCGAGGTTGCAGGATACGAATGTAGGTACTTCCAAGTCCGCATACCCCCACGAAGTAAGCGATGGCCAGGAACAGGAGCAGCAGCAACCGCCGAAACTTGCCTTGCAGTTGGATACCATGAAGGCGATTCACCAGTTCGATGCGCACCACGTCCCCACCACAGTGCTTGATGCACAGTTCCAAATCAGCTTCTATGGACCCGGCATACTTGGCCTGCCGGCTGTAATATCTGTGGATCGTCACTTGGGGTTCCATTTACGTGACCGAGTGTTACCAGATGGTGGAACGACTCTCCCCCAGACCAAAAACCTTCCCGCAAAATTCAAAATCAGAAAGATATTCTATTGAAATTATTGTAATGCGTTTGTATACAATTGAAGTTAATGCTTTCTGTTGGAATACTTATGTCCAGATAGATATATTTCATTAAAGTCAAAGAAAGGAGTTTGAATAGGTTATGTTTTCAGTTGATGCCATCGATATCATGTACAAATTTGCTGCAACCTATCGATAGTTTATTGGAGGGTATTTTTTAATTTTGTGCACAGAATAAAAATATCGGGGTGCGGAGAATAAAAGTATCGTTTAAAATATAACATTTTATATTATACATACCAAATATTTATGTATGGGAACTCTGGTCTTACCTAAGGCGCAAACCAATAATTTGCCTGGCTTCAACCAGTGTTTCCACACTCGCGCCAATTCGAATTAAATAAATCAAACTGGTCATAAATAATCAAAATGCGCATTTATTATCGTAAATGCATTTTATTCACCGTTATTCGTTCGCTTTACGACCAAACTTAGCATGTGAATGAGAACACGTTTCGGACAATCGAAAATAATAAATAAAATGCATATAATATATAGCTTAATTAAATTCATTTAAAACTTAATGTCACCTCTTCTCATGCAAATCCGGAGTGCAGATTATTCCCCGAGCTGGAATTGCCCGACTTGGAACGCACAGATCCATCAATTAATGTTAGTTAGCTGATTCGTTTGGTTTCTGTGTCAACTAGCCGACCTTGATATATTTTCACGATGGCCGATCAATGATCAAACACGAATGCCTTGCGCAATTTCTAATGTCTCTCTTGTTTTTACATGCGTACTAAACCCCATCTTCATCAGCTTCGCCATCGTCATCAGTTTGCGTCTTCTCTGGATTTTTAGGTGATCGAGCTAGCCGTTGATCGATTTGGTCGGAACTTGCTCGAAAAGCATTCGATCGAAATGGCGCTGAATGGGAAGTCCAGTCGCCGTGTTAATTCGATGCTTTATTGTTTTAAATATTTTTCTAAACGTACGGCCATCTCTGTTTGTGTGCATGTGCTAAATCGAAATTGGCAGGTCTTGAACGGGTTTGAGTTATAATCATGGGTTCGATTGGGGGGCGGGTGCCAGGAGAATGACTCGTGTATCGGTTTATTATTCTTGCCTGTCTTTGGTATTTCACACTTTCGATTGCATTGCCTCAGACAAAAATTCCACGTTAATGTAAAGGCGAGAATGATTTGCAGAATCGGAAAATGCCACTTGACTTAACCGTTATTTAATAATCAAAAATCAACAGCAGTAACAACAATGAACTCTGAACACTGAGATATACAAATATAAATATATCAAAATTTTGAATTTGAAGTAAGTTTTCGTTAGTACATTTCAAATATACAGAAATAGGAAATAAAAAAAGTAGAAGTATCATTAAAGGTAATTTTAATACAGTTAATACTTATTAAACATTCTAGATTCTAGGCAACTTTGTGGCAGTGTTCGGCTGTTGCAATGCAACGTGTCGGCTGCCTTTGTGGCTTCGAGGGCTTTTGAGACCCCGGCACCGCGAAATCAACGCATCAATCATCTTATGTTGCACAACTGCAGGGAGGTGCAGCCCGACTGGCTCGGACTTAGACAACTGCAGCTTTTCCCAGATGATGATACTGGCCACATCCTATCGAATGCTCATTAGCCTTAGTCTGATGTAGAATTTATTCCCTTCACGCGTGCTTTAATCGTTTTGGTAATTTTACGAGAGACGCAACCTTGAACTCGGGTTTTTTATTATCCCCAAGCGATTGGATAAGGCCAATAATACTAACGAGAGTCCAAAAACAAGAGCCACAAAGAGCTGGACCGGAGTCAAAAAAACACTCCTAAGCTTGGCCCAATAAACAATGGCTTTGGCCGGCGATAGACACCCACCAGATGCCAAAATTGGACGGGGTCCATCTGCGTGGTATCATTACGTTCGTCACCGGGCTCATCCGAATTGAAGTCAATGTTTCTGGGCCGAAGGTTGTGCCATTAAGCATACGCGGCGTGTGCTCGCAAAAACCCAATAACAAAATCATAACGCTGAGAAGTGCCTCGGCAAAAAGTCATTGTACTCCTGCCAGGGGATGAGCACCGGAAGAGGCCGCCGTCGGGCCAAAATAAAAAAAACCGGACGGTTCCGGTCAACGAGTGGACGCTTATTTCGGTCTGATTGATGGTCAGCATAAGGGGGATAAACGGAGCATGTGAAATCAATACTGAAGTCGCGACTAAGTTCCTTCAATTTTGTGAATGCATAATGCAATTTGGAAGCTTAAGATATTTTATGCAGAAATGTTTACTAAAAGTACAATTTATAAAGTTAATTACATTTATGAGTAATTTGCTGATTGGGCTAACTCTTTGATTTGATTTTCATTGATGTAAATTTTTGAGCAATTTCAAGGTCTTTTTTGGTTATAAAGTGCTTAATTATTTCGTCTTTAAGTTCACATAAATTTAAAAACAAGGCGTGGCTTACCTAAAAACTAATGTTAAAGTATATGTTTGACACGAATATTTTTGTGAATATTTTAGCAACCGTTTTCGTGCACTGCAATCTTAACTAAGAAACTCATTATCTTTCTTGTGGCCAAACAATAACTCAAACAGCTGCTAATAACAATATTACCAACAGAATAGATGATCAAATGGAAAATTTTAGAATCAGCGGAAACTTTACCAACCAATTCCATCTTCAGAAACATTCTCAGTTAACCTTTGACAGTCCATATAGGGAACTTCATGCTGATCTAACATGATCACTATAACGTATACTTTTCCTCTAGTCATACAGCCACTAGAAAAGCTCTTGAAAAGGTTGTATTTAAATTTTCCCCAATATGGAAGACGCGTGTGTCGGATCTGTTAGATGGGATCAGCAAAGGGCCACCAGTTTATACATATTCATCGTTTCCACCCCCCGCTAACTGTTTGCACATGTTAATTTGGCGCGGCTAGATTACATGGTCAGTTACGTGTTGTTCGGTTAGAATTCCGCAAAAAAGATCTTGTAGATCTGCGGCCATGCAGCGAACTTTGAGACGAAAAATGCAAATGTTTGCCTTGTTGCATTGCTTTGGGGTTTTGTCGAAAACGCCCAGAAACTGTGGGGTAATGGTGAGACTTTTAGCAGGTAAATCAGAATTAAAGTAGTAGAAGGATCGTCTATTGAGGGCAAGTAAATAGTCGCCAGTATAAAGCAGCTGTCAAAGTTCGATTCGGATGCGGTTAGTAACCCCTATTCTAATTGTTTAGCCCACATAAAAACCGACTACGTAACGTTTGAGGTCTCCATATGCCAGGTCCTCTAAAATGTCAAGTATACGACAGGTTGCCTGCATAATCCCAGCCATAGTAGCCGCACTTCGCATTTGGAAGCTTTGTTTGTTTCACAAGTTCACGGCGCATTTTGGCCGCTTATTAAACACACCACGAAGGCAAACAGAGAAAATCCGAGTCTTGGACATTATAAATATTTAAGAGTCCAAGAGACAAACTGGTTTGTCAGCCACATCTTCATCTGCTTATGGCCAAATACATATTCAAAGATTTAGCTTAGTTGCTGACGACCTTTTCTCTGCTCTCTCCATGCCCATTTGATATGTGTGGATATGATAATTTTTTGCACACTTTTCCGATACGAAAGTCCGTGCTTGGCCACTGGTTAATTAACGGATATTTCTCAGGAACTTTGAACTGTGCAATCATCGCTCCCCGGACGAGGTAGAAAAGTCCCGCTCCGTTATTTAGATTGGCGTTAATTAAGCGCCGCACTTGGTTGTGGGTGCAAAGGCAGGTGCGATACTCAGAATTCGATTCCAAAGGGCCAATAATCGCTCTCAGTCTGACTGTGGCATCCTGGCTTAAAATACGAATGATGATCCGACTGATAGAGCGAGAGCCCAATGACGGCCGTGTAACCACAACCTGTTGCTCAGAACTTGGCCGAAAGCTTTTGACTTCGGCTCACACGCTCGCCGAAAATGAGCGGTCGGCGGCGGCGCTCTGCGTCGAGTCTGTATAAAAGTAAAGCGGCAGCGTGAAATCAAACTTATTTCAGTGTTTTTGATTTGAATGCAAACGGCCCAAGCTCGCCCAGTCGCTGTCCAGTTGTTGTCCAGTAAAGTCCAGCGCAGCAGTCGCAGCCGCAGCATCAGCAGCCGTTTCCCCAATAGTGATGTAGAAACCAAAAAACCCTATAAAACGATGTGCGTGCGTGTGTAAAATAAAAGAAACTCTGAAAATCGACAAATCTAAAAAAAAAGAAACGAACAAGGATAGTGCGCTGAAAGTGATAAATCTTATGCCAAAGCCGAGAAAATCTCTGTAAATTAGCCAAGTGGATATATATAAAATACGTTCCCTTGTTTTAATCGCAAGATAAACCGAATTCTAGTGCCTGAAAGCAGCGAATACAAAAAGAAATTACAAAAAATGGTAAGTAAGGGGGTTCCCGAAGTGTAAGTGTGACTCAATGGAAAATTGATTCAACCGAAATCCTCCTTTATTAAAGTGGCTTGGAAACTAGTAATTTTGATGACGACCCCAACATGCAAGCCTGAATAAATATACATTCGTTGGCTTGGGCTTTCCATCGATTCTCACAAATGACCCTTTGCACACGCCTTTTGTATGTGTGTTCTTTTATTAAGTAAAATATTAAATAAAAAAAAGAACGACAAAAATAAAAGTAATTTTCAACCCTTTTTTTTTGATGAATAACCGCAAATGACCATACAAATTAATTAACTTAAATTTATTCGTCGAGGAAATCTTTCTCGCAATAACACCCATTCCTGGTTCTTATTCGCTTTCTTTGAAAATGGAAAAAAACCAAACGCTAGCAACTGGTTTCCATTTTCAAGTACACATTCGCCAGCATGCTTTTTCAATGTCTTTCCCAAATGCATTTTTGCCGACTCCGCGCAGACCTTTCGACGCTTTTCCCCCGCTTTCTGCCTCAAAACGTGAGCGTTTTCTGTTTTGCTAGAGTCATTCGCACTTGAGTTTCGCGAAAAGTGAGCACAGAAAATGCAAGTGCTGCACTTATTTCGACGCTGCTGCTGTTGCTGCTACCACCGCAGACGTAACAAAGCAACAGCAACACCAACGGCACAGCAGCAACATCAACGACTGGCTGGCGGTCAAGCGAAGTGAAGGCTGCCTTTTTGGTTTTGACCAGCTCATGAGCTGGCCCGACAACATTTCACACGGAAATGCAGTGCAGCGCTGACCTTGAATCTTGAATCTCAAGCGGGGATATGGGATAACTGGCGATCCGATCGCAAGTGAAATGATAGCCCCTCAGGGCCAGGCCAACCGCTTTGTCCCGTCCACCTTACTTATGCTTTCTGCCCATCATTGCAGATGCTGCTGCTGCTGTTGGGTGTAGAAATCCAGTGATTTTCATATTCATTCAGCGTCAGCTCTGCAAATTCGAGAAAGAAAAAATCCCGATGGGTTAACCAATCATCGCTGCCGGTGGCTAATGATCACTGGCATTGCACCATTTCAAAAAAAAAAAAAAAAAAAAAAAATCGAATGAAAAAAAACAGGCAACCCAGAAATCGAAACTTATTCAAATCTTCGAGTTGTTTTCTTCTCCTTTTGGCCTCTTACACAATAATTATTACACCTCGATTTTATTTTCGACCGACTGGGACTTTTGCCGCATTTTTGTGTTGCCTCTTTTGACACTGAAAAGTGCAAAGACGCTGGCGGCGAATTTTACTAGGCCAGTTGGCCGTTGATAGTTGGTTGTTTTTTGTTTGTTGATTGTTGGTTAGAGACACTGCCACCCAGCTGCCAAACTGCGCAGCCCCCTTTGACTTATTATAATAAAAATGTGCCTTAATCAGCCGATTTGCTTGCAGTGCCTGTGGGCCAGTTAGCCACATTAGAGAGCCAGTTAGCGACGTTGGCGTCGTTTGATCGTTGACTGCCGCTCGGCACTCAGCTGTTTTTGGTAAGAGAAAAAAAGTAAAAAAAAATAATAATAGGGAGAGCGTATATAGGTAGTAAGTACAACGGAGCGAGCTGTTAGTAAAGTGAGTGTGAGATAAGGTTTGCCGCATGTGACGGCGATGGCAGTGCATTTGTTGCTCTATTTCGGTTTGTTTGGCACCACGCGGCGTATGCGCGATTTTCTCAGCTGAGTAGCTAGCTACCTTTTTGACCACTTCAATTGCTAATATGCCATTTGGGCAAAGGTTTATTGTTCAACATTGAAAAAGTGCGTGCGTGTTTCTTAGTTATTGTTGTTAAATATATTCAAAATAGTTTACAACTCTCTCAGCCGAAAACTGATAACGCAGGCCAAGAGAGGAAGACACTGTAGATAAAACATAAAGAGAGTACTTTGAAATGACGATATTTATGGACTCTTATCGGCCCGTGATTGAAGTAAGTGTCATTTGAAATTCAATTATGGCCTGTTTTGAGATTAGACAGTAAAGATACGCCGGCAGAGGTGTTAAAAAACACTAAAAATAACAGCTTTTAAATCTCCACTCAGGCCCGTCAGTTTGCCATATTTTACAGCCTTTTGAGTGTTTTTTTTTTTGCAGTTTTTCTAAACTCTTCATTTCTTAAAACCATTTAATTTATACATATTTGAGGCTTTTAATTGGGTCGATTGAATGAATTGATTTGTGTATGCAAAATTAATTAGTAGGTCATGCTGCGACTAAATATAACGAATTTGGGGTTTAACTAATTTACATTGGATTGAGTTCAGGTGGGACTAATGAAATTTCGTTTCAAGGTTGCTTTTCGTGCCGTTCCTAGAATATTTTCGGCAGAAAGTACTGCTATACGATTTCAAATGCCCTAACTAATGGATAAAGTTTAAGTATCAGTATGGCTAAACATTAATTGAAAGGGAATAAAAATATTATTTAAGGATTAAAAATCACAACATTTAATATTTTTATAATGAAACCAAAAGGTAAAAAAGCAGTCGCTTGTAGACAATTTTCGAAACATTTAATCCGAACACAAAGTAATTAAATAATCAACATTGCGTGGCGAAAACAAAATTTAAATTTGTGAACAGAAGAAAAAACCTGATAAATACGTGAATGTAAAATGATTGAGCAGCTAAAAGTCATTGCTTGTTTAATTGTATTGCTAGTGATTTACGGGATTGAGGGCAGGGAACTTTGAACAGGGAAATGGCAGGGACGAAAACCAAAGTTCGTCATTCGGATCGAATTGGAATTGCATATTAAATACCTGAATCCAGATGGTAAGGTACCATTTTTTAATGCAAGCCCCTAACCTGATTGGTAGGCATTAACGCCATGCACACACACACACACACACACAGAGCAAAATCAACATTCGCCGACTGATAGACGCAATGTAGAATGAATCAGCTAAAATATCTGAATTGAGGCTTTTGAAATGGCATTTGGGGAACTCACTTACACTTACGCACCTTTGGCCAAGCTGTGGAGTATTTGCAGCTGTGCACTTGACTACTAACTGAGTGTTTTAGTTGCGGCAAATACTGTTTTACACTGAACGAAAATGGTTTATTTACAAGACAAAATTTTCTATTATTGGAATATTTTCTGCTTGTGGAAACCTTCATATTTAAGATATCCCAAAAACTGAAAAATTTGTTTTAATTAAGAAATTAAAAGAAAATGATTTTCAAAATTAATATTTTGGCGGTTTCTTTATAACCTTTTTAATTGATTACTTAATATTATTGGCATTTATAAAACTGAATAAAATTATCCGTAATCGCTGATTTTGTTTAACTCTTAACCTAATTCAATAAAAATAAAATTGATTTCCTAATTGATTTTCATATATTTTATTTACATATAATTAATATTTCTTTCTGTGTGAATTTCAACAACTTGCAACCTGAAACGCTGCTGCATTCAGTGAGCGGAGTAAAACCGCCCCCGAGACCAACAACACAACTTCCTTGGGGCAGGCGGCACAGCAGCAGCAGCAGCAGCAACAACATACACTCGGAAAAACTGTCTTGCACTAATTACTAGGGGATTTGGGGCCAACGACAGGCGGGCGGCTGAGCGGTTTGGCGGCAAGAACAACATCCAAACTCGATTGCCAAATTAACGCGATTTAGTTGCTTTGAAATGTGGCCGGAATCAAGTCTTCTCTGCGGCCAAACACATATACGAATGCTGTTGGTTATATAGGCCCACATATATCATGTGTTGTTGGTGTGGCAAGTGCCTTTGCTGCACATGTTGCTACCTCTTGTTTTCCCACCAATTTCGATTGAGAAATCGCCAGCGATTTCAATCGCGTGCAAGTCGCGCGCAGCTTGGTATTCGCTTGAAAGTTGAAAAACGCGCGCTGCATTTTCAACTTGACCCACAACAGCCGGGTATTGATCATCGATCAGCTTGTAATCGGTGTTTTACGCTCGTTTTTATTGTCTTATTATTTTCTTTATTTATTTTTTGTTGTATTTTGTGGTGTTTTCCTTTACTGCTTTCCATTTACCGAAGATTTGTTTACACATTTAACAAATCGCTTATGTGTGAGTGTTTCTGTGTGGTGGTCCATGGGGTGTTGCATCATCGCCTTGTCATATTAGACAAGATGCCGCTGGAGTAAAAGTCGCGCTCTGAACCTGAATGTTAACTTCGAAAGCCAGTTGCAGATACAGATACATATACACTTCGTTTCTTTTGATTTTGATCCCCCTGTTGGCTGCGCTCAACTTGACCTATAAATTGATTTTAATGTTGCGCAGGTTCGTGCGACTGTGTTTGATTTTTCTTTGGCCCCACCATTCAAAGCAATTTTTTCTTTAATGATCGAAAATCATTAAGTGCGACACGAGTTTGGGTCTCAGCTTCGATCGCCACCGATCGATCCCCCTATCCCCCCAAGTTACAAATGCTTCAATCATATGGTTGCAAACCTGTTTGGCCCTTTAAATTTATCTCTCGAATTGCTTTTTCTTTTTTCATTTTTGGGCTGCTGCGGCTGCTGTGGCTGCTGGGAAAGTAAAAGTGTTGAGCTGGACAATTATGCGGCTCTACAAACGGGAAACCATAATTTTTTCTTGCTGTGCAAATTGCTTAGTGCCGCCCTGGCAGATGAGACTTATATAAAACTCGTTAAAATAAATCAAAGAAAGAGATTTAGAGATGCTAATGTCTGTCACCTGTCTCTCCGTCTCTCGCGCCAGGCCAATTGCAAAAATGTAAAAAATAACAAAAACAGAAAACCAAAAGGCAAGATCCCAAACAGTCAGTAAACCGCTTGGACGCTTGGCCGGTTGGCCTTGTAAAGAAATACATACCTACTAAAAAATTTTAAGATTTGAACTGATGTCGGTTACTACATCGCAGCCTCAACACCTATATCATCTTCTTCTCTCCGTCAGTCGCTCGTCGCTCGTCGCTGGTCGCTCTTTGTTGTCTTCCCAATTATGCATTTGAAAC